ATGATATATGATTTAAATCCTATATTCAATGTAGATCCATAGATTTGATTTTATATTTTTGAGATTTAAAAAAATCACGTTAAGAACCGAAAAATTATTATTATTATTTTAATAATAATTTTAGCTTTTATAAAAATTTAAGAGATACATTTTTTTAACTTACAAGTTTATCACCCAAGAATTCGAATGATAGAAAATGAATATTACTCGTAAAGTTAGTCTCTTTTCAAGCTTTTTATTTTTAATTAATGTACACACAGATGTTGACAGATTAATTTTCTCGACAAATATAATGGTACTTGTAAAATCGATCCGGTTTATCCGTGAACAAATATTTACTTTTTAAATTAATTCATTAAAATTCAATAAAGCATTACGAACCATGACAACCTCCAGTATTTACAATAATAACCGAAGTTTTATACAGTACAAGGATTATAGAGTAATTAATGTGGGTGTGTAAATTTAAATTTAAATTGATCCATGCTCTCTTTCTTGAATATAACTCTCGTTATTTTTTTTTTCATTAATTATAATTAACAATATAATTACGATAAATTTCATTTGAATAATCTTGGGAAATTATTCGTTATATTTTTAGACTGTAATTAAAAATTGTAATTAAATAAAAAAAAAAAAAGTTACTTCAATGTTAGTTTTTGAAGTGGATTATATGCTTGATAAAATCATCGCAAAGTTTATTCATAATATTTCTAGAGGAAAACAATTTAAATTAGTTAACCGGGTAATAATTATATAATGTTTTTACCCTTAATTAAACAGCAGGAAAATAATATTTTTATAAACACATCAACATTTTCTAACTATATTGATTGCAATATATGGTACAAAGTTTCTAACCAGTACATAGTTTTTAACCTAGATTAAATTTTATAATATTTCATGCACATTATTTTCAAATGCCGATAATTTGTTTACATCCAAGCTTATTTATTTATTAATTTATCAGATGTCAAATATTATTTTTTACAGACCCAGTAATTTTTTCGGGAAAATTTGTGTAATTCATTTACGTTCGATGAAACTTAGACAATAATGAAATATTTGATTAAACCTTCATTGAAATTATCCAATTTTAACCCCAGAAAAAGAAGTCAATAACTAAAAATTCTAGCACCAGACTTTTTTTTCGGATAATTTTGTACAAAAAAATTCTTTGAAGCAAAACTCCATCTGTTTACCTCGACTAGATACATTATTGATTTTTGAAAAAGTTTATGTATTCCGGCAATTAAATCAGATCGATTAAATGAATATTCACTAAAAAACAGATGTTAAAAAAATTCATATATAAATGTGTTTTATGTTTTTAGACTGAGCAGAACTCTTCGTTGAAATTTAAAATAATAAGGCTTCAGTTTTAGATTTGATTTTCAAACTTATGTAAGTTATTATCTAATTCATAACCATATTAATGTATTAATTGGATGATCGATTTTAAAAGGTATTAAATATTTGTTTAAATATTTACTAAACAATTTTTGATAACTGTAAAAAACACAAAAATGTTTTAAAAAACCAGCCGAGAAATTTAATTCTAGATGAAAAAATGAGCAGGAAATTTAAACGTCAAACCGACGTTTTAGTGCGTACTTAAAGAATTGAGTGTCGGTTGAATATACCGAACAGTGTACATGAAATAATATAATAACTGCAAAATATAACACAATCAAATATTTACCCTTGAAAGAAAAATAACTTTTTACAGCGTCTAGAATTATTTTCACACTTAAAAGTGCAGAAAATAGAGCAAGGTAGGTCATATTATTAGAAAGTTTAATTCATAAAGTAAAGCACAACTTAATAATTTAAAATTAGTGCGTAAGTTTCATGAGGTTTTTAAACCATTTGTACGAGTCATGAGTTCTTTAAGTTTATGTATATAATAACACTCACACATATAAAATGAGGCCATTTACTTTTGATAAATCAACATAATAAAAATGAATTATTTATTTGACTAATTAATTCTAAACGTACAAAATTTAATTTAATCTGCGATGTAGAAATTAATTTATATATATACTAGGGTGTGGCAAAATGTAAATTCCTTGATGGACCTCTTAAAATTGGAATTTTGAGTTCCGCTTTTAACAGGAGTTTTTTTTTTTTTTTTTTAATTTGTTTAAAGTCGCATAAACTACTAAGGTCATGAGCGACTACGGTAGGGGGTAAACTTTTGAGATTGGAACTCGTTTGTATTTCTTGGGCTGAGCAGAATAATACACTTAAATATTGAAAATATTCATTGGTGTACGCCGGACTCGAACCCGGTCCAATGCTTTGGTAGCAAGGGCCGGATCCGATAGGCTACTGCGCGCCTTGAGTTGTGTTCGGGCATTTCCTGACATATTTTGAGCAAAGGATTTATTTGATTTTTATAGAATTTTTTATCAGGAGTTTTGTTCGGCCATTTTTGATGGAATTTCAAAATTTCAAAATTCAGCTGGGTGGACCCCATGGCTCTGCTGTCTAGAAATGCTACAGGGAGTACGAAAACAGCCCAGATGGAGGAGAACGGACAGCTGAGCAACGTTCCTCCAAAAAGTGGAGGACCTTTTGCTCCTATCACAAATCAAACCTACTGAGGAAGAATTAACTCTGTACCGACTGTCATCAGCCAACAGTCACCAATGGAGAGACTTGGCAGCAAGATTGAAGAGTTAGCCGACTTCATAAAAGACAAGAAGAATCTCCATCATGAGATCAGAAAATTGGTTACGTCTATTGGTACGGCATATAGGCTTGTCAACAAATCACAAACGACGTCAGCGTCAACGACTCAAACATCTCCGAGTCTGAGCAAAAAACCACAGCCACCTCTGGTCACCCCTAAGAAATTATCACAGCAAGGAGAGGGCAACAACAAGAAGAGGCAGCTGTCCACGCCCAGCCCTTCCGCAGAAATTGACAAGCCAGCACAGAAAAAGACAGCTCGGGATGATACCTGGACCAAAGTGACTCGACAAAACAAGAAGAAGAAAGAACAGGAGCCAGCGGCTCAATCTGATACAACCCGAAACCAGCTAAACAACGGTGGCTCCAAGAAACCGAGGAGGAAGAACACAAGAAATAAAGCTGTGCTTGTCCAACCAGCTGAAGGGCGAACATACGCCGATCTCCTGAAGGAAATCAAGGCCAAGGTAAGCCCTGTCGAGACGGGCGTAGACATAAAGTCTATTAAAAAGACGACACACGGAGGCGTTCTCCTTGAAATGGCTCGAAAGACCGAAGACAGCAAGGCATTCACCGATGCAGTAAAGGCAGCCACTGCAAACATCGGTACAGTCAAGACGCTAACACCAACAACAACGATCGAGATCCTCGACTTGGATGAAATCTCTACCGAGAGCGAAGTCCGTGAAGCACTCAAACGTGAATTCACTGACAACCTGGAGGTCAAACGGGTAAATTTGACAAAACCCACACCACGCCCTTGACAAGGCCCGTATACGGATCGGTTTGGTGAACTGTCGTATACGCCCAGTAGTAAAAGTAACACGTTGTTTTAAATGTCTTGGTTTTGGACACCAAACACGTCAGTGTGCGGGACCAGACAGAAGCAGGTGCTGCTACAAATGTGGCTGAGAGAACCACAAGGCCGTAAACTGCACGGAGAAGCTAAAATGCTTCCTTTGTGCTTCGGACAAAGATGCCCAGGATGGTCTATGCCATATTTCTGGCACTGGAGCTTGCAAGGCATTCCGCAAAGCACTTGCAGAAGCCACGAGAGGTCAGAAATGACACACACTACTTGTTTCGAAGAAACAATAGGCACCGCCCGGGAAAAACGGATTAGATCTGGCCAGATCTGCCTTAGCAGATCTGGCCAGATCTTTAAATTGTCTCTATCTGACGAGATCTGGCCAGATATAATCAGATCTGACCAGATCTGGTCAGATTTTAAAATTGCCCAGGTAAAAAAGATTATATATAATTATATATACTCATACATAATTATATACGAAAAATGGCCATATATAATTATATACAATTATATAAAATTATTTCCATAAAAAAAAAAATCGGCGCGCGCGGGAACCGAACCTGGGACCTGATGCTTGAAAGACTAATTCATTACCTGTTTACCAACGAAGCTTACTTGAAGTGCAGAGTTTGTAGTAACTACAAGTAATGTGAATCGTGTCCATGATCGATGCGTAATGAACAAAGTTTTTTATCAAATTTGCAAATTATTAATTATCAATATACGCTGATAGAAAGATTTATTAACTATTAACAAATTAATATATTCGAAGACAATTATTTAATTGATTAAATTCGAATAAATATTTTTTGACATTCAATAAATATTTATTTTGGAGAAAAGTAATAATAATAATAATAAATAGTTTTATTTGCACGACTTTCGTCTCTTACAAAGTTTTTACATATATATGTCATTGTATGTTAATTGTATATATTATTTCTCTTTCCATTTGATCTTTCTATTTTTCTTTTCTTTTCTTTTTTCCTCTTGTTTGCACGTCGTTGTTCTGGTGACCCTCCTGCCCCAAACTCCGCAATCCTGTTTTTTCCCTTAGGATCTCTTTAATTTTTCTGAAGACCGTGCATGCTCTCCCGTCTATTCTTCCCTTTAGTACTTCTATTAATCTTTCTTCAACCTCTTCATTTTCTAAATTTTTCCATTCATTTAAAAAACTCTTTCCTTCTTCTCCAACTTTTTCATATATTTCTTCACATTTCATTATATGCATCAGGGTTTCTTCTTCCCCCTCACATACTCTGCATCTCCAATCCTTAAATCCTTTCTTCCCCCCTCTTCCTATGTTCCCACATCGTACCCTCGCCCATGTTTCCTTATCTTCCCCACTTATTTCATCTTTTCCCCAATAGTAATTTTTATCTTTGTCTATTTTTATTTTCTTATATAATTTGCAGTATGATGATTTCTCTATCGCCTCCTCGTCTTCTTTTTTTGCTTCTTCTTTTATTCTCATTATCCCTTCGTCCAACTTTGTTTCTATTTCTTCTATTTCCTGCTCTTTATATATCATCCTGACTACTTCCTCACAACCCATTTTTTCTAATATTTTTTTCACTTCTTTACCCCATTTTGTTGCTCTTCCGTTTAGTATACCTCTCATTTCTTCTTTCATAATAATCCACGGCCATCTTTCTCTGTCCATTTTTAACACGTCCTTTATATATCGTACTGCTCTCTCTTTTAGTGTTATTTCTATATCCTCTACTCCCATTTCTTCCCTCCATATGTACCCTGGTGTGTCCCTACTCACTCCTAAAGCCATCTTGCACAGCCTTCTATGCACTCTCCTAATCTCCTCCGATTTTTCCCACCCCCACACTTCTACTCCATACATAGCTACAGATTTCGCCACCGTGTTCATCAGATACATCCTGTCCCTTATACTGTTTCTTTTGCTTCTCTTTATTATACCACATACCGCGTTCGTTGCTTTTTGTGCTTTCCTCGCCATCTCCATTTGTTGCTTTGCTGCACTATTTTTCACCGTAAACCAGTATCCTACATATTTCACCTCTTTTACTTCTATTTCTTCCCCTTCATATGTCCATTTTTTTTCTTTTTTCTTTCTTCCTCCATTCCTACATATTAATATCTTTGTTTTCTCTGCATTTACCTCCATATTATTTTCTTTGGTATATTTTCTCAGTTCATTCAGCATGCTTCAGCAAGCTCTCCTCCTGATTCTGCTACTAGTGCCAAATCATCTGCATATTTCATCGCGTATATTCGCTTGTTCCCTACCGCCGTCCCCCCAATTTTCTTTTTTTCCATCTGCTCTTCGAGTCCATCTATATATATTCCATATAATGCACCACTCATTGCACATCCCTGTCTTACCCCTTTTATAGTCTCGAATTTTTTGGTTGTTCTCTTTGGTCCTAGTTTTACTTTACTGTATGTGTTCTTATATATCTTACTTATCATCCTGTACATCTTGCCTCTTATCCCTTTCTCCCAGATTTTCCTTTTCATTTTTCTCCTCTCCACTTTATCAAACGCCTTTTTAAAATCAATTAATGCTATGTATAACTTTCCTCCTTTGTCCTTTAATCTTTTATTTATCAGTCCGCTTAAAACAAAAATATGATCTCTAGTCCCTCTTCTCTTTCTAAACCCAGCTTGGCTTTCCCGTATTATTTTTTCTCTGTCTATCCATCTGTTTATTCTTTCTGTCATCAATGTTGTTAGTAGTTTATATCCTGAGTCAAGTAACGATATCCCCCTGTAATTCCCTGTCACCTCTTTATCTCCTGATTTATAAAGCGGTACTATGATTGCCGTATCCCACCCTTCTGGCATATTTCCCTCCATCCACATTTTATTCATAACTTCTCTTATTTGTTCTACCACTTCTGGTGTAGTATTTTTTATAAATTCTGCTGCTAACCCATCCTCCCCTGGTGCTTTATTGTTTCCCAATTTTCTTATTGCTGTCCAGATTTCTCTCTTGCTAAATTCTTCATCGAGTCTTTTATCTACACTTTCTTCATTTCTCTCTTCCTCCACTTGGTTATTTTCTTCTTCTTCTTCCTCTTTTTGTTTCTCTTTTTCTTCCCCATTCAATAGTTTGTCAAAGTGAGTTTCCCATCTTTCCTCCGATATTTTATTTTTTTTATGCTTCCTCTTCTTTCCTCTAAATCTATTGATGGCTTCCCACCACTTGCTCATGTCTTTGGCTCTACTAATATCCTTACACATTTCTTCTACCCACTTTTCTTTGCATCCTTTCATTGTATTTTTATATTCTTTCCTACTTTCTTTAAGCTCTCTCTTGTTTTCTTTGCTCCTGTTTTTTATGAATTTTTTCAGTTTGTCCCATACCTCTTTCCTTCTCTTTTTACACTCCTCGTTGAACCACTTTTCTTTTTCTTTTCTTTCCGGTCCTTCCTTGACCTTTGTTACCATTCCAGCTTTTTCCGCTCCTTTTTTTATTATTTCTTTGATATCTTCCCAGTCCAATTCATCTTTCTCTAACACCCTCTCCACCACCGCTTCATGTATGGCTTCTAAGTATTCTTGTTTTTTTTCTTTTTTCCATATGAATTTTTTTTTTCTTCTATCTTCGTTCCTTCTTCCTCTGTTTGCTTTTCTTCCTCCCTATCTTCGTTTTCCTGGTCTTCTTTACACTGCCTTATCGCTACAATTAAGTGATCTGATTCTATTCTTTCAACTATTTTCATATCAATTTCTCCTTCGTTTCCTCTGTCCACTGTAATGACCAGGTCAATTACCGACCCCAAGCATTCCTCCGTTCCACCTACGTATGTTATTTCTCCTTCTTTATCATTTTTTGCCCTTCCATTCCATATTTTTAGTCCTAACTCATCGCATATTTTTAGCAGCTTTCTTCCTTCACTGTTCACTACTTTGTCTTTGGACTTTCTCTTTTTTCTGTTTGCTCCTTCTTCCTCTCTTATCCCGATCTCTTCTCCTATTCTCGCATTAAAATCCCCCACTATCATCACTTTATCATATTTTTCTGCTCCTTCTTCTATCTTCTCTCTCATTGCTCTTTCTATTTACTTCATCCCCACGTTGTTGTATATGGTTATTGTTATTATCATCTGGCCTTCCCCCTTCTCACTTTCAAGTGTTAATCCATACTCCCATTCTTTTATACTCCATTCTGTTTCTATGCTCTTTTTTATTCCCACAAATTGTTCTCCTTTTGCTCGTCCTCTTTTTCCTTCTTTTATTGCATTTTTGGCCCACCGTTTAAACTTACTGCTTAATCTTTCCACTTCATATTCTGCTTTCTCTTGTGTGACCCATGTTTCTACTAGTATTACTATTTCATTTTTTTCCATTTCTTCTCTTGCTTGACTTGCCTCCTTCATTCCAGCTATGTTCCATAACATTATTTTTCTCTCACCCTTTCTCGTCTTACTCTTTCTTTGTCTTCCTTTCTCCGTTTTTTCTCTTTTGTCTGTTTCCTCTACTTCCTCCTGTGTCACTCCTCCTTCTTCGTACCATCATAATTCTAGCTCTCCTCTTCTTTCATTCCAGCACCACCATTCTCCTCCTATTTTTATTTTCTTTCCTTCCACGACAGTTCATTCCCCATTACTTTGTTCCCATTTAGCCTTTCTCCTTATCCATCTTTCCACTTCTAATTCTCTTTTTATTTTTTCTTCTCTTATCCATATTCCAGTCCCTTTCATAATTTTTCTTCTCTCAAGTATGTCATTTTTTTCTCTTTAGACATTTTAGGACATTATTGCCTTTTAATAACGTGTTTTTTTTTAATATTCAAACGAGAAATCTACCTATCCATGTCGGGTATGACCGAATGGCGCTTTTTTCTAAACCTAGTTATTTCTGGTTCAAATCTTGTCCTGAATCTTTTTTCCATTTCGATCATCACTTCTTCTTTTTTCTTTATATTTCCTTCTCCATACTGAATGTGTATCCCCATTCTTTTTCTTTTTCTTTCTTTTAGTTCCTCTTCTAGCTCTTCACCTTCTATCCTTTTTGGCTTCTCTTTTTCTATTTTTTCTCTTTCTTCGTTTCTCCACTCCTCATTTTTCTCCATGTTTTTTTCTTCTTCAACTTTTTTTCTTGCCTCACTTAACATATTCTCTATCTTTTCTTCGTTTGTCATATTTTCTTTGTCTGTGCCGCTTGTTTGATTTCCATTTTCTTTCTTTTCATTTTCATTTTGCTTTGTTGGACTCTGATTTGTTTCTTCTTGGCTACTTATTTCTGTCCTATTTTTTTCTTTTTCATTTCTTCTTATTTCCTGTAATCTGTCCTCTATTTGCTCTCTATCTTCTAATTCTTTTATACTCCTCTCCTTTTCCTTAATCAATTTGTCTCTTTTCTCAATCTCTCTTTTATATTTCTCTATTTCTTGCAGGTGTCTTCTTTTTTCTTCTTCCCGCTTCTCCATGCATTTGCACTTACATTCCACTTCTTGACCCTTTATCTTTGTTATTTCTCTACTTGTCACTTCTTTTATCTCTCTAATAATTTTTCCCAACATGCTTTCGCATTTTCCTTGCATCCTTTGTTCTACTTCTTTTATTTTTTGCTTCCACCATTTCTCTGCATTCACCCCTTCATCCTTTTCATATGCGATTTCTGTCTGTGTTTTCGTTTCTGTCTGACTTGTTATCGTCTGTGTCTTTTTATTTTTCTTTATTTTTTCTCTTTCATTTTTCTTTGTTTTTTTCTTCTCCTTATTTTCTTTTTCTTCTTCACTCTCTTTATCCTGATTAGTTGTTTTATTTCCTCTTATCGGTGTCCTTCCTAGTGCAAACCTCGCCCCAAATCCTTCTATGTACTTTTCCATTGCTCCATTCTTCATTCCCGCTTTTGTATCTCCCGCCAACGTTTGTGATTTTCTTGGGCGTCCCCTCCTTCTTTTCCCGTTTGCGCTTGCGCTATTTACATTCTTTTTTGTTCCTTCCTCCTCCTCCTCACTTGTCAATTCATCCCAAGAGCTGCCCTCTTGCTCCTCTTCACTGAACTTCCCTTCCTCACCAACCGCCAATTTCTCACTAACCTCTTTTTCACTAGCACCTTCGTTTTCACCCATTTATCCTTTTTTCACTACTTTCTGCTGTTCAATTTATACTTTCACTCTCTTCCTTGCACTTTTATCTTTCCCTCGTTCTATTTTTTTTTTTATTTCTTATTACTTTGCGCTTTTTATTTTTATTTATATTATGCTTTTTCGTATACACGTCCGTACTCTTCGAATACTCAACGCCCTCTTTTTTTGGAGAAAAGTATATTTAGTAAAATAGTTTATAAGTATTTATTAATAGTTAACAAATATAGTTATATCTGGCCAGATATAATAAAATCTTTTAATGTCTGATTTTTTTTCAACCCAGATATAGTTGTATCTGTTTAGATCTGATCAGATATGACTAGATCTTATTATGTCTGATGTATTTTTTCACTCAGATATAGTTATATCTGTTTAGATCTGATCAGATATGCCTATATCTGATTATGTCTCCAATCCCATATCTGACCAGATATAAATAGATCTGACCAGATATAATTAGATCTGACCAGATATAATTAGATCTGACCAGATATAATTAGATCTGACCAGATATAATTATATCTGGTCAGATCTAAACCGTTTTCCCCGGGCGCGCTCTCCCCTGAGAGCTTGGCAACCTGCATGATCAAAAAAGAAGAAAACTGGACAGCTGTAGCAGCCTACGCGCAGCGTCTCTTGAAAGAAAAAATCGCAGAAAGGGATTAGAAACCAGTAATAACAAGAAGTAGGTGTCGTGAGGCACAACATGGACTGGATTGAAGTAATGCTAACGCGGTCCTGATCCAGTCTTCCCTGTAGCATCTATAGGGAAACGAGAGAGGAGGATGTTTAGTCGGTATTGTTGGAAAATGATATTGACTTCTGAGTCCGACATACCCAGGCACCAACACCTAGTCCTGGCAACAACACCAAGTCCTGGCATACGTAAATGTATTTTACCTCCTCTATAAAAAAAAAAAAAAAAAAAAAAAAAAAAAACACAGACATACAGACACCAGCGCGGGAATAGCCAGGGAAGCTTCCTAAGACCTCAAAACGTCGAGATCTGATGAAAACTCGATTTCCGAAAAACGGGGTAAAAACAATAACTTCCCGATTTTCGAAAATATTTAATTTTCTTAGTAGTTGTACAGAGTTGAACATATAATCGACAAGCTGCTATTCATGTGTGGTTATTTGGTATGCGCAGTCGCCAGAATTAATCTCAGTATGCTTGATAGTTTGATTGGTAGTGGTAGTGGCGGACATATACATTCTATGAATCTTATACATTTATTGTAGTTAATTTTCATTCCCGCACGGTCAAGCAGTTGGAAAGTTTGACTCCGCCTACTTTCCCGCACGCTACTATAGTGTATGCAACCATCACGAGAATACGCAACTTTGCGTTTGCTGAGCAAGGCTCGAATGTTGAACTTTGGAAGCAGGAGTTACAAAAAAATTATTTTGATTGTAATTTGAAGACAGATCATCTCAATTTTAGTTCTTACTCGAATGCTAGCTTTCAGAATTACTTTTGTGAGCTTCTGCTCAAAAACTTAGTAGTAATAAGGGGTTACATGGGTTTGGGAGGTTGAAAAGATCAGGTTCTTTTATCTTATTAAATTCTACAATATGCATACACGGCTGTGTTATAGGTCTACTCATAAAATCTCTACTCACAGCTATCAACGACGTCTGCACTCAATTACATTTTTATTCGAAATCATATTCATTCAGTCACAACTTTATTCAATCAAATCTTTACTCTGATTGAACTTTACTCAATATTACTAGATTTCACGTAGAACTTTAATCAGTTATAACCTTACTCAAATTCAACAGTATAGTCAATTACAACTTTGCTTGGTTTCAATTGTATTCATTTTCAAGTCTATTCACTGAATTTTTAACTCAATTACATCTCTATTCTCAAAGAATCTATTCACTTACATTTGTAATCATTTACAACTGTACTCAGGTTTATCTCTACTCACGAATTTTTTACATTATCAATTAACCATAAATTTGTGAGTAGAGATGAACGTGAGTACAGTTGTAAATGATTACAAATGTAAGTGAATAAATTCTATGTGAATAGAGATGTAAGTATACTGTTGAATTTGAGTAAGGTTGTAACTGATTAAAGTTCTACCCGAAGGCAAATAATATTGAATAAAGTTGAATCAGAGTAAAGATTTAAATGAATAAAGTTGTGATTGAATGAAGATGATTTTGATATATAAATTATTAACAAATAATGAGATTAAATACATTAAAATTAACTTTCTTTGTTGCTGTAAGATGGACAGCGGAGTTCTTGCTCGAAGAGTTCAAAAGCATAGAACAGCTAACTCTAAACTCGGAGAGCCAAAAAAAACACATAAATTGTATTTTTTGAGCTCGAAGAGCTCAAAAATGTCATAAGTGCAATTTTAAACGCTTAGGTATGGAATTGGCGGGAAGTTACAGGGATGGCCTTCAAGGTCAACCATTTTCCTAATTTTTTTTTGTAAAAAATCGGATTCTCCAACATTTTAACCGAATTGAAAATTATATACTTTTATTTTGCATGACTCATGATGCGAAGCATCAGTGTGATTTACGATCGAAAAATTTTCTATCAATATTTCAGTGAAATTTTTTTACCTACAATAAAATAGCATATGTACGGTAGTACTGAAAACCTTCGGCAGAGAGCGCGCGATCACTAAATTTCTTCTTAACAGAATAGACTTGAACGTTACAAAGTTCCAATAAACAAATAAGTATGTGAAGTGCGTGACAAAAATCACAAAACAATTATGCCAGTCAAGTCAAATTTCAAACAATCATTGCAAATAATTAGAATTTCACGATACTCATAAATTCATTCATTTATCTAACACCTGCTGTTTAAGAATCAATAACTATAAAATTCAGCAAACTCTTCTTTATCAAAAAGGTTATTCTCCGGCCTCTACTTGCCTACTTCTTTCAGTAAATTATATATCGACGGTACTTTGGTAAAACCTCGTATCTCTTATTCAAAATACATAGAAGATACGAGGTTTTACCAAAGTACCGTCGATATATAATTTACTGAAAGAAGTATCTCTTATTCAAAATACATAGAAGATACGAGGTTTTACCAAAGTACCGTCGATATGTATCATTTGTTATTGTTCTTACATCGCCAATTAATAAAATGTATTTAGAAAGGAGTTGTAATAGAGTTGTAATAATTGACCATATAATTAGTAACTACAATAGACAATCTGAAATTTAGAATCAGTAATTAATATTAAAGATTTTGCTTCCTTGTAACAAGTCATTCACTTATATATCTTTTTTTATTTTTTTTTTTTTAAGTTAAGTATAATGTAAATATTTTTATGTAATTTTGAAACATCTTAAAATATTGAATTATAATAAAAAATAATGGCTGTATACTACATTTTCAAGAACCATGTCAAGAATCTTTTGTTAAAACCAAAAAATTAAATTTATTACTTATTTTAAAAATAAGTCACTTCAAAATTTTGAGTAAAAAAAATTTTTATTATCTTCAAAAATTTTTTTTTATCAACTACAAATTCTACCCTAAGCTAAATTGATCTTCGATCAAAATTTAATTTCATACTTATTGTTTTTATACATTTTCACTTAATATAATTAACATAATAGAATTTTTTTTATAAATTAATATTTTAATGAATCCAGGTCAAAGTCAAAATTAATATTTTATAAATTGCTTTGAATAATTTTACTTATATTTTTAACTTCCCGCTAAGAAAATTGAAAATTTCCAAAAATCGGGAAGTTATTGGTTTTACCCCGTTTTTCGAAAATCGAGTTCTCATCAGATCTTGACGTTTTGAGGTCCTAGGAAGCTTCCCTGAATGTTTTCGCGATGATGTCAGTATGTCTGTATGTATGTGTGTGCGTATGTATGTATGTATGTGACCCTCTTATAATTTTTAAATGGCTTGACCGATTTTATCGCGGTTGAAGCCATTTGAAAGGGCTTGACCAAACTTAGATTTTGAATACCGTTTGGATCGATTCGAACCGGTAGATTTTGAGAAATCTCAAAAAAACTACAAAACAGTGGTTTTTTTGGAATTACTTTTAAATGGCTTTAACGATCAATTCCAAAATCTAATCAGCTCTTAAGATCAAAAAACCACGTTGATCACCGCAAGCCCGGTCAAAATCGGTTGATTCGTTCGTGAGTTATCGTTGTCAAAAGAAAACCGAAAAAGGTGTTTTTTCGGAATTACTTCGAAATTCCTGGCTCGATCGATTTAAACTTGAAGATTTTTTGTAGGGCTTCAAAAACTGCGTCGAATGCCGCCAACCACGTGAATATCGGTTCATTCATTCAAAAGTTATTGCCGTTTGAAAATTCAAAAAATTGTGTTTTTATTAAACTGCTAAGTATTAGAGTTTTGAGCTCGAAGACCTCAAAAACGTAATGTGTAATTTTGAGCGCTTAAGTACAAAATGAGCGGGAAGTTGCAGGGATGGCCTTTAGGGTCAACCGTTTTCCAGATTTTTTTTATTATAAAAATGTATCTGAAATTTCTAAGATTTAAAAGGCTATTTGACAAGAAGTATTTGTCATTCATGATGCAAAACCGTAGCATAATTTTGTTTAAAAAAAACTTCAATCTTATTCATGTCCAGGTTTTATTTTCAAAAATACAAATTTAAAAAATCAGGTGAAAAGATTAGTAAAATTTGTGTTAAATTTATTTATTCAACACATACAGCGTTTCATCGGTATTGTTCCGACATCACCAGGCATCTATATCATAGACAAAAGAAAATGAAAATATTTATTGTCATTGCATGGATGGTATATGTTTAACATGTAAAATTAGTCATTTTTTTTTATCTTGCTGATCCTGATCAGGGCTCCAAGATAAAGCTATTTAATTATTGCATTGTCATCTGTCCTTGATATGTTTACAAATTTTCAAATAAATTGAACGTCTTGAAGTTTGTGAAAATTACGTTGGAAAATTCCGCTACATATATAGTAATATGGCAAGCCTTTAAAAGGCACGTTAAAAAAACATATATTATTTTTAAAGAAAGTTATCAAAAATTTTTTTAAATTAAATTCTATACTTGTTAAAATTGCTTTTATAAATCAAGTTATATGAGTGGTAATTGATAAATAACTTTAAGAATACCGATTAACTTTTAATGATTTTATTATTTTAAAATAAGTCTCACGTGAATAAAAATAAAACAATGTCAAGCTAAGAGCGGATTGAAGTTTTAAAACCAACCCGCAGGGTCAACCATTTTCCAGACATTTTTTCTATACCACCCTGACATTAATCATTCTAAAGACCATGACTCGTATAAATATGTATTACAAATAACACGCACTTACGTAGGTCCAGTTGAAAGTATGACCGTGACAAACGTTAGCCAGAGGTCACTATCCCATGCTCATAAACGCATCTTTACGATCGATATTATCGACCGGAACAATTAAATGCGGCTTTTGTTAACAATATAGGTGTACATATACACCGAGGTTGATTTAACGATTGTTTCTATGGTTACCGTTGGCTCAAGGGTTTCATTGGGGTCTAAAGCATTAAGGGATATAGATCGACGGAGTTGTCCGCCGTTAACACGCGGGTGAACACTCGTTCTTACACTTGCTACTTGCTACTTGATACTTGTTACTTTTTATATTTACTTTCAAACTAGACCGAGTACTCGACACTTGTTGTTGTATTTCACCAGTCTTCCACTCGCACAATTTTATTTGACAACAATATAGGTATTTATCCACGCCGCAGGACAGTGAAATAATTAACATTACTTATATCAAACAAAAGAAACAAAGTTTACAAAAACAAATAAATAAATAACAAATTTTGTTTCACTCTCCTGCGTAATATAAGATATTTTATCTCGAGCCCCTCTGTTATCAAATTATAGTTATAAAAAAAAAAAAAAAAAAAAAAAAAAAAAAAAAGAAAATATACATTTATACGTAATATATAATATCCTGCGGGATATAAAAATGACGGGAAGAATATCTTTAGTCGAGCAAAAAAGACTGCAGTGGGCAAAAGAACGAGGTAAGTACAATATTTATTATATAAAAAAATTTTTTTTCTTGTTTTTTCCAATTTCATTTTTTTCCATGGTTTTTCCTATATATACATATATGTGTACAGTATAAATCGGAATAATAAGACTGATTAATTTCTTCTTTATAGTTACTTAATGATTTTATCACCTACAATTCATAACAGCAACTTTGAATTGATCATATTACAAAAAAATATCCATAAGTGTTTTCAAGTAGGGTCCATCATATTTTTCGCAATAAAATATCGATAAATAAAAATTTTCTATTTTTAAATTGATTTATTTGTAGAATACAATTTTCAATTAATTTTAAAGTTCTTATTGTTCACAAAAATTTTGTATCCTACGAAAGTCGTTAATAAAATTTGTTCACAAAAGTCGAGCAATTTCTACTTCTCTTTTTTTTTCTATCAAACATAAAACATGAACAATTCTTTTTTTAATTTCAAAAATCTCAATTTTTTATTTCTTAATTAGTTCTAAAAAAAAATTTTTTTCCCAAATAAAAAATCGATTTAAAAAGTTTTTTTTTTTTTATATAATTCTTGTTTTTGATAAACAAAAAAAAATGTGTGATTGTTAAAAAATACTTTTAACTATTGTTTTTATGAATTCAAATATTGTGAACCTACTTCCAAATAATTCTCAAAAAAATAAAAATCAATCAAAATCATTAAAAACTATGTTATGTTTTTTTTTTTAACAGAAGAAATGGCTAGATTAAATGAGCACTGGAATGCCTCAAAGCCATCGAATCCAATTTACTCAGTAATTCGGTATACTAATCATTTATTTGTATTATCAATTTTTGATAAGTTTTAATAATTTCTTCCTTAAATATAATTTTGTTTTATTTTAAATTTTTTTTCTATTGTAATTAGCTCGAGAATGTCGACCCGTGACTACCAGAGTACTAGTAGCAGTAGAAAGCCTCTCCGTCCTTGTGAGCACTACGGTAGTGCTGCAAGTTTGAAAAGTATCGACACTGCATCAACGAGCTTAAGAAGTTTAAACTTTCCCAATAGTGGTAGTATGATAAATATTGTTGATTGCACAGAACTGCCAGAGTCGATGCGAAGACGAAGTCCTAGCTTGCCGCCAATATATTCCAAAGAACATCATCAACATCAACACGCATATAAATCACAGGTGAGTCGATATATCGATGCAATTAATATAAAAATAAATCTAAGTTTTGACTTAAAGGTGTATTCTGATCTAGAAACTAAATTTCAAGTTCAATAAAAATCAATAAATTACATTTTTGCCAAATATTTATTAGTATTTTAAGAGTATACAAAAAATATGAAAACGAAACAATTCAAAAAGTTACAAACTGGTAAAGGAAGGGGGGGGGGCGTTTTTAAAAAAAAATAATTTTTTTTTAACATTTTTAAATTTTAAAAAAATAACAAAAATAAAAAATTTTTTATAATTCCAGTGAGGGTTTTGAAAAAGTAACTTAAAAAAAAATGCACTTCTTGATTTGCACATCACTAAAATATTTAGAATTTCGTTAATTATTGAAATTTTAAAAAACCTTCAGGAAGATATACTCTTAAATGACTAAAATTTGAAAGTATGAAAAAAAATCTTCGACTTTTTTAAATTTCTAAACCAGAATACCCTTTGAATAAATCGAAGATAATAACTGTGATGTTTATAATACTCAAACGAAAATCCACGACACAATTTTAACATAAATCGATATATGTTAACATGGGGTAGTTCAACGACCCTCGATACCCAGGGAAAATCTATTTCTTATACCCCACAGCTTGGATATAGAATCATTACTAAGAAACAGAGTTTAGACCCCGTATCACGCACACCCTCGTACCATTTCGTTCCATCACGGAATTTCATCTGACCCAAATGGAATTTTCTACACTTTCCAGTATATTCTATATAATAGTAATAAAAGTTGTTTTACGATACAATTTCGCGTTAACTATGCTGCAGAAATTTTTTAATTAAAAAAGTTTGGTTTTTTTTAGCTGCGTTTAATTATTTCTTTTTTTTCTTGTTATTTTTTTAGTGACTTTTATTTTTTGGAATATATAATACTTTTGACAAATATTAATATTCATTTTAGTCACGCAATATTGTAATATAAAAATAATTTTTCGTTTAAAGGAACTTCCTAATCTAGAAATAGAAGGTTCTCGGCTTATAAATCAACCACGAGCACAAAAACATTCAAACAACGAAGTAGAACGTGACATTTTAATTCGTAATACGTACGAAGAACGTGAAGGCGAAACTTCTGGTTATGCCAGTGACTCCATTGAACCGACTATTATTCAAACTGCCGAAGTGAAAAGTATGTTTTTATAATAATTTTATATTTTATTATTCAATAAATCTTATTTAAGAAAATTTTTATTTGAAAAAATTATTTATAAATAGTATGATAAGGGTTGTTTTTTTAAGCTTCAGCTAATAAATTTGAATCAATTAGGTAAAAAACTAAAGAGTAAAAGTAGTTGAGTATATACAGAGAAAGAAAAAGTTATAACTTTTAAGAAAAGGAAAAATTTTTCTTCTTTACTCTTTTTTTAAGTAAAAATAAAAATTTTTTTTCTTTTGCTCCGAAGAAACTTGTTCAGTTGAAAAAAAATTTTCTTGTTCCAAGAAAATTTAGTCCTTGAGCTAATTGATTTGTGATTTTAGTTTCAACTTAAACTGGGTTGAATTTTTTCTCAAGTTTTTTTCAGCATATGTTGCCTACAGAAATTTTGTAAGGTTAAAAATAAAAAATTTCAAATTTCCAAAATAAAAAAATAATGACACTATTTTTTGACTACCGAAATTTGAAAAAAAAAAAAAAAAAGTGAATACTGCTGAATAATATTAAAAATAATTAATTTCAGGATTACTTCCATTAGAAAAATCACAAGGGGATATTGAAATGTCTGAAAGACTTTGGCAAAATTCTTATTATAATTCGCCAGATCCTTCACTGCCACCATCGCGAAAATTCGCCAGCTCTCGTTTAGGTGAGCTTAATAGACCCCGATGGGGAAGTATTTGGAATCAAGATAATACACGAAATGACTTGCCGCCGCCCTCATGGTTAGAGCGAGGGCTATCTCGTCTAGATCACTCTAGCCAGGTACGTTCTTTGCCATTATTAAGATAATTAAATCATCTTTAATCTTTTTTACATTAAAATCTCAGTCTTGAACAAAAAAATAATAATAAATCATAATTTTATAATTTACAGGTCTTAGTAATTAATCATGACAACGTTAGTAGTCCTGATAGCTCAACTGGTTCTACAGACTCAAAGACTTATTTACGAGGTCACAATATTCCAGTAGATGCGCAAATACTCCAAGAACGTGAAACACGACGACAAAAAGCCCTTGAGCTTCAGAGTGCAATAAAGCAGCAGTTGGAAGAAAAAGATAGACGCAGGAAAGAAGAGAAAGAGAGAAAGCTCAGAGAAGAGTTAGAGGAAGAAGAAAGAATCAAAAGGGAAAGAGATAAGGAAAAATTGAGGTAATAATGATAATTAAAATTAAGATGGCTCGTATTACTTATGCCTGTGTGTTATGTAAGCCTTTTTTATTTTTTTCTTCACTTAGATATGAAGAAGAACAGAGAAAGCTCAAAGAAAAAGAAGATGCTAAGTTGAAAAAAGAACAGGCCATGAAGGAGATCCTCGAAATGGCAGAACGACGGGCTAAAGAGGAAAAGCGACAGCGTCGTCAACGAGACGATTTTAAAATCGTTGATAAAGTCAAAAACCCTGATATAATTACTGATTGGAGAACTGATGTAAGCAACAAATCTTTCTCCGTCAATGAATTTTCTGAGGATAATCATAATCTATACGGACAGACTAAGACTGATATCAATGTTTCTTCTGAATTTGATGATTTGCAAATAATTAATGTTAATAATAATAGCGATGATTACAGCAATGTTAATGATATAAATCATGATAATAATAGTAATAATATTTATAATAATAATTATAATGATGAATGTTATCCAACCGATACTACGGAATCTTGTAATAAAAAACAAGAGGATGAATTTGTTAATGAAGAAGTACGTGAAAATGTGATGAGATTAAATAAAGATGTAGCGATTGTTTTAACGGGAAGACTTGAAGATACTGACTTTCTAAGTAAAAACAATGTTAAATTATTAAACTTAATTGTTAATTCAAGCACACAATGTGATAATAATTCAATGGCTGTAAATAATAATAATAATAATAATAATAACAATAATAATTTCAATAATTTATTAAAAAGCTTAACTAATTTGTCATCAGGAAAAAATACATGTGTAGCATCTTGTTCGCCAAGAATTATTGAAAATCGTTTGTTAACTCCAAGTAAATATAGAGTGACATATGGAAGAGATTTTGGTACACAAACAGACGCTGAAAATGATAGCAGTGATTTAGGAAGTAAAGATGCTTGCAGAGGATCTAAAGAAAGTATCATAAAACGGGATACTGATAAAAATATGTCGCGATCTAAGTCACAACCGCGGCAAAGTATTGAGTCACGACCACGCTGGAATGCCAATAGGTAAGAATTTTGGTTAATAATATTTTATAAGCTTTTTGAATTAAAAGTTAGTAGATAGGAATGGAAATTATGAGTTTCAAAGTGATTAAAGCTTTGTCCAGGCCTGGGACGCGATACAGAACGCAGAGCGAGAAGGATCCCCATTATCAGAGACGTATGAGATTGAGGAGACGACGAGTGGATTCGAGTGATGAGAGATCAAGGTTTTTATTTTTATTTTTTAATTTAGAAAAACTAACAGATGTTTGTTGCACTTTATGCTTATGAATATTGATCTTTGGTTAGATTTATATTTATAAATGTTATGAACATGTTCAAGTTTTCATATTTTTAAAACTTTTTCCATTTTTGTTATTTCAAAATTCAGAACTTCAAGTAACATTAAAACCAAATTTTATTATTACAAAAAAAAAAAATTTGGTAATTATGTAAAATTACGACTCCATTTAATTTTAGTTACAGATAATTAAAAAATCAACATTATGAAAGTTTTTCGAGCAATCAATTATTTTTATTAATAGTTATAAAAAATAGAATAATTTAAAGAAAATTTTTTTCAATCTTAAAATTTTACTTTTTTAATTATTTTGATCATGAAAATTTTATGCAGAAATACATATATTTTATAAGTTTAAACTTACAAATTGCAATTTGTAAAAAATAATATATTTAGTGTTGCCGAAAAATTTTTCTCTAATTTTAACTTATTCTGAATAATAAAATGATTAATCTAAATTTCTCATCAACAATATAAATCAATATTTAATCAAATTAATCTCGATACAATTTGTACCAATGTGACTTAGTATATCTATATCGATATGAGTAATAATTTATTTTCGTAATGAATGTGATCGATTTACCGTACTTGCATAGAGAATACTAAAGACCACATATTATCGTATCCAATGACCATTTACTCCATTACTGGTTTTTTGGAATGTCCCTAAAATTACAGTAATATTTTGATCAAATTTCTAAACTAGATATTTCATAATTTCTTCTCATTGATGATAATAGTTACTCACAGAATATTTATTGTAGGTCACCGTCACCTGACCGCAGGAAAATGAGCACCATTAAGTCGAAAATTCGTAATGCAATCCAACGAAAATCCAAAGCGGATAATTATGATGCAGACTTGTCAATGGATAGTTTGAATTCAGCTGTACCATTACGCGTTAATGAACACGGACGAATTATTGTACAAATGAACAAGTCTAATAATAATTCACGTGTCAAAGATGATTTCAAAAGCGATGATGAAGATAAAAGAATAGATTCAAATACTAAAAATAAATTAAACTTGTGGTGTGAACATGAAATTCTTTCAGAGTTGGCTTCTTTAAAAAATGTAAGTAGTATGCACTATATATTATTGAACAATATTGAAATCAATCATATGAATATTAAGGTTTTGAAAATACTTGTAGGGTTTATTGGCGAAACAACGCGAATGGGAATCAGAAAGATGTCTACTGTCACCGAACACTGAGTTTTATTAGTTGTATCAATAAAAATTACTTGCGTATTATTGAATGAATAATATATTTTTATTTAAATTGTATTGATAAGCTTTTAGAAGAAAAAAAAACTAATAAGTTAATAAAAATAAATAAAAGGGGGTTCGAGATAATGATTGAAAGGTTGTGAACAAAAATGAGACGCGTTTCTCACATTACAGAATACTTTGATATATTAAATGGCTTTTCAACTGGATGATCTTCTTCGAGACGACAAAAGAGATGGAAATTTGATTCCGGACTTAAGCAAAGCAACGTGTAATTCACAAGAAGAGTTTCGGCGTCTTCGCGAGCGTTGTCCTGAGTATAAAATCAAACCCGAAAAGGTAAACAAAAACTTTTAAGAATTTAATTTAAGTTTATTAATTACTTGCTTGAGAATTAATGAAAGCAAAATGAAACTTAGGTAAAGCGCGAAGATATCAAAGTACGCGACAAAGATTTTTCATGGAGAACAACCAAAAAGGAATTAAAGTCGATGGAACGAGAATGGGGGTATGGTGATCCAATTCCTCCGGATATGAGGAGTCTGAATCTTCACGAACTTCAACAAGTTGCTATCGACTGGAGAATGTTGACACCATTGAGGCCAAAGTTGAGACAAGATGAAGAAATGTTTTCACGATTGGTGATCAAATATTTACACTTACAAATGATAATAGATTTTAATGATTTAAGTTGAAGATTTTTCGCGTAATATTTTTAAATTTGTTTGTGTTTATTTTTTTAAGGTGGAAATGGGTAAAATGGAAATTAAAACGCTGTCAAAAGAACGACGTAGAATGTCAATAAGTCCTATAAGACGCACAAAAACTCGTGTTGGTATAATCGAAAGTAGTGTAAAAATTTGTGGTGAATGCGGAGAAGAATTTTGTTTTGGCGAATCTTGCGGAGATATTTTATATGATTCATTTATACGAGTTACTGTTGCAGCAGTACAAACTAAAGCTAAAGTATCCGAAGATACTGCAGCTATTATTGCGAATATGAGCAATGGTAAAGGTAAAAATAAAAAGAAAAAAAGTGCTAGAGGTAAACTCGCTGTACAAGTTAAGAGAACTACTAAATTAGCTGGAAGAAGAAAAATAAAAAAAAATAAAACGAGTGAAACGAAAGCAGGTACTAATTTAAAAAGCCAAGATAAAAATGATGTTAAAATTAAGAAATTTAAAAGAAAATGTAGTAAATTTAACAAAAAAGGTGGATTGTCACCAAAATAAACTATTACATTATGTACATAATGAATAATATATATTATACGAACTGTAAATGTAAATATGAATACAAATAAATTATTGACTAAAATAGGAAAATTTTTCGGTTTATTTTATAAACTTTTTTTTTTATTTTCAATAAATTTTTACAAGAAGAAATCATACAATTATAATCAGCCATTAAACTAACTCATTTTACCAAGTCTTAATTATTAAAGAAAGAATATTGTCATATTTTATAATTTTTCATTCATCACTATTGGTCATTTATGTACAAATTGCCTAGTTGAACTATATACGCATGATAATTAATGAGTGGGCAGGACACACAAAAATCGCCGCAATTAAATGCTGGAAAAATATAATAGTCTTTATTCCTTTTGCTCACTCTCTAATTATTCATTTTTATTTTATTTCCTCGATAACGTTTTAGATTTCGTTAGTTTGAAAAAAAAAAAACCCCCCGTAGGATTCAAATATAATGTTTGTCTTCTTTGTTTCATCGGCATTTCGAATCTACATTAATCACACGTACTCAATCAACATTCATTAATATCGTAGTCCACGAATATATATATATACATATAAATATATGTATATGATACACAAATATATAATTCATATATATATATATAATAATTATTATTATCGTATATACAAATTGTAATATTTATAGAATTACAACAATTTCTTATGTTATTACATCCATGATTTTTGTTGTATTTTATATCATATTATAAATCAATTCTCTTGGAAATATTTTAAGTTATTTTGGCAATTCGGCCATGCAATTTGAATTTATATGGTATTCAACTATTTCATTATTGTTCCACTTCAGTAATTTATATATTTTTTGTGCACTTTTTAAAATAGTCAATTAACTGGTTTATAGTACAGACAAAGCGACACAATATAGGCCATTTAAATTTTTATAACAACTACTATAATTATTATTATATCTATTGGCAAAGTTACTGAATGATGATTTTCAATTATTGATCTCTTAAAATCTGTTATCGATTGATAACATTAGTATTTATTCCATTACACTAAAATTATTTACATTTTTTTTTATTATTCAAAATATTTTTCCCTAAGAATATACAATACTAAATTTTAATAAAATTTATAGTGTCATTAAAAAACAAAAGTGAATATTCTTATTATTGATCGTTGATTGAAATTGTTTCTTATAAAAATAGTCTAAATAAAAATTAAATTTTTGATCAAAAAATTAAATATACATTTTTATATGTTCATTAAATATATATTTCTCTTTTAGATTAGACATATTTTTAAAATTAATCTTTACTGATGCTCCAATATGCATCAATAGTATTTTGATAAAATAAAAATACCCATGTATACATTTTTTTTTTCAATTATTCTTTTTTCTTTTTATTTCTTCAACAGAAAAGTATCTTTTATCTTCAATTAATTAAAAAAAAGAAAAAAACAAATGAAAATAATTTACAATTTCTCGCCAATTACGTAGTTGATTATTTTCGATAAAAAAAAACAAATGTTTCAAATGACTTAGTGTCAGGTGTTGAAAGAAAATTTTTGACTACAAAATGTTCCCAAATGATAATCATCAAAAAAGAAAATATCACATTGATTAATCCTCATAATCTATTAGTTAATGTCTTTTTATATATCATTATTCTTCATCAACAGTTTTTAGTTTTTTACTATTTTTAGATATTCTAGTCATTATCAAACAAGTATAGATTAATAACTTGAGTCAATTACGTCACCAGCCGAAGCCTTACTAATAAACTCAAAAAAGATATTTTTTGTCTGCAATTACAAGAAAATAGTGGATCAAAAAAAAATTTTTTTTTTAGGCATTTGAAACACATGCGTTACAACTGATACAATTATGTAAATCAATAATAATAATAATAACAATAACTTTTGACTACTTGAAAATAGTAAATTGCAAGACAATTTGATGAGACTGTGGTTAAAAAAAACTATAATTAAAACTAAGTAGGATTTCATAAAAGCAACTCTAAAACAATCGTTATATCTACACTAACAATTATATTACTAATAAAATAAAATATTTCACTTAAAAATGTAACGAGCTGTAATTAATTATAAATTATTAAGCTAACCAAGATATTTCGCAATCACATATTGATTTTGAGCGTCCAATAACAAATTTTAATTATATTTTTTATTTAATCAGATTGTAAGTAACTCTACTTAACCGTAAAAAAATAAATGATCTTACTCTATAGAGTTGAACAAGTGATGTATTGAAAATTAATTAAAATAGTAACTAAAAATTCATTCAGAAATTATTTTGGCTAACGTTAAATTTAAAATTTAAATAAATATATATAATTTTTGTTAATATTGCATCAATAATCATTAACATAATGAAAATTTATTGACATTAGGTCATAAGGAATAGTGTAAAGTATTTTAAAAATTCTAAATGGTTGAATGTTCAACCCCATTTTTATCATGTGTATTCACAGAGGAAACTCACGCTTTGAATGACGATTTTATTTAATTATTTCACGCCTCGTGGAGCGGAAACGACGTAAATTCCGCAGTAAAAACGGATTATCATATATTGTTCATTGATGAGAATTTCAATTATCTTTACGTGCTTTCTTTTTACTTTTTTTTTGTGGTTTTGCTTCGGTCCACGTGTCTGTAAAAATAATTCAAACAATTAAATCAATCAAAAAAAAATAATGATTTTAATTTATTATATTTATTTTTTTTTTTTTTTTGGAGTTACTATCAGTAAATAAAAATCTTACCTCCTAGCTCATCAAAAACAGCTCCACCCTTTTCAGAGACATGTTCGACTTTATTAGATGTTTCCACTTGTTCAGTCTTTTTTGGAAAAACATCTTCAACCCTTTCTTCAATTATTTTTTCAGATTTTGTTTTAACTGAAGTTATATTTGATACGGAAGTGTTTTCAGAATCATTAGATTTCTTGTTTTTCTTTGTTTTGGCACTCTTCTTATCTTCTTTTTCTTTTTCAATTACATTGGTTTTTTCAGCCTGAAAAAGATATAACTTCAGTTATAAAATATATTACAAAAATAATTTCAAATTAAATATTGATGTCAGCTGTAATAATACACAAAATAATTTTAAAAAACTGTTTTAATACAAATATTTAATTAAAACTTTAAATTATTAATAAGTTAATAAAATAAGCTGAGTAAATGTATTTATTTTTTTAATTAATCAATTAAAAAAAAAAATTATTAATTTTATTCTTATTTTTATCAGAACATAATCACAATTTATTTTTATAACAAATAAAAACGAGTACCTAGAAGCACTTGTTTTTAACGAAAAATATTTAAAGTTATTGAATAAATTATTTGAGCATCTTTCTATCTATGCAAATGAAGTAGAAAATAAAATAATGCATGATTTACGTTTAAAGAAATGATAATATACAAATTTGAAGGAAGACTTTTAGAATTATTCTTATCACGTTTTGTTCTTTTATCTAACTTAAAACTTAGTTTGAAACATAAAAAAATACAACTACCTTTTTATCTTCAATAGATTCGACTTCTTTTTCTTCAGATTCGATAATATCATCTACTGGCTCTAAAACAACATCCTTCTGAACTTTTTCTTTCAATTCTTTATTTTCAGTTTCTTTAGCAACTTTGTCCTTAATTTCAACTTTTTCAGATTCAATATTCTTGTCATCATTAACTAATTCACTTTTCTTCGATTTCTTTATTTTCTTTGGAGACTCTTCTTCTTTCTTCTTCTTCTTATCTTTTCTCGAATAAGCTTGCTCCCAATCACCTTAAATAATTCCATCATTTTTATTATTAATAAAAAAAAAAACTTTTTGTTAAGATTATTTGAAAAAAAAAAAAAAAAAATAAATAAATAAATAAATACACACCATCATCAAAATCGACTGGTTTCTCGAGAATCGAATTTTTCATATTTTTCTTGTTTTTAACTTGTTCAACTTTATTTTCCTTTCCAGATTTATTGGTCACTTGAGTTTTATCTTTTTTAGCAACAACAGATGTATTGTCTTCTTGTTTACGTTCTTTTAGCTTACCTTCGACCTCATCATTTTTAGCAACTGATTTTTTTGATGATTCAGTTTTAGCTGGTGATGATTTTTTAACTGGACTAGCTTTTTCATTGGCCTTTTCATTTGTGGAACGCTGAAAATGGAAAAATAATTTATCTACTTTTCGAAAAAAAAAAAAAAAAATAAATAATTAATTAAAATTATACAATTTCATTTGATTGAATGATTATAATGTATTAAAATAAATCAGAAAATTGTACTACGACGTTATACTTATTTCCCTCTATGAAAATAACATGCGGGCATTAAAAATCAACATACTGAGTATTACATATATGAAATATAAAATAAAGTTTAAGAAAGCGTCACGTTACGTCATAGTTTATTAATGCACACACATTGTAAAGCAACCCTTTTTTGAATTAGACATTCAGCTGATTATTGTCTGCATGTTACTTTCACATTCGTCTAATAATAAGAAACCATATGTTGTATATGCCACCATTAATTGATTATTACATATGAATTATTAACATATGCCAAGGTAAAATAAAAGAACTATACTAAAAATATTATAGAACAATAAACAAAAGAAAAAATTTTTTATCATTAATAATTGAGTAACAATTAAAAAAAATACCTTTTCTTTTATTTTATTTCTTTTTTTGTTAGCTTGTTTTCGATCCACGTCCGAGACTGCTGATAATTGAGCGAATGGTGGCTGCTCAGCATTTTTAAAGCCAAATGCAAAAACGAGTACAGCAAAAATTAAAACGATACCTACAGGTATCGCATACTGAATATGACTCACAAGACTCACGTCCATATTTAATATTATTAATATTTATTTTTTTTTATTCTGTACCCAAAGGCAGTGGGTTTCTGTTAGGGCTTATAACACGCGGTATTACAACCACGATTAATCTGTACAGGATAGAAACAGCGATGATGACGGACGGCAAAAAAAGAATTAATACGTATTGGCGTATGCAAACACCGATTTTAAGTTTTTTTGACTTATTTACTTTTTTTTTTATTCAACACATAAGATATAAGCACCACACAATCACAATTGTGACACGGTGGCTGACACTACAAAAAAACGCTAAACATTACAGCCCTCTGATTGTCATTTTTTGAACTAGATGATGCCAGGCGGGCGCCGACCCCGGCTGACGCGGCTGATTTTGCGCAGTTACACTGACAACCGACACAGAGAGTGTAAGATCGTAAGGACTACCATAAAGAATGAAAAAAAAAATATCAAAAAGTAACTCTAGTTTTAATGCACCAATGAGAATTTTTCAATTAACTACAATGCAAAAGTCCGCGAAAAATTGAAATTCTTAACACCGACTAAAATAAGAAAACTAACCATAGACACAGTAAGAAATATAGCTACGATTTCAGTTTTTTCTTCCGATCTACCAATTATTGATATGTCAAAAAAATATACCGTTATTTAAATTAACTGACAGTTGTGATGCGCATGCGCTGTAAATCTGCTAAGCTAAAAACCGTAAATTGATCATTATACACAAAACGTCTAATTATTACTCGCGTAATTTGTAAACAAATTTATAAGAATGAAAATTTTTACTTTTTATGTAGCAAATTTATATTAATTTATGGAAGATTGATGATTTAATTATAATCGATACAGAAGAGGTTATATGACGACACTTATATTTTCCTATCAATGTATTAAAAATATGTACTCTTGAAAATGTGTACCCTTCATTCAAAAATTGTTTTCAAAAATCCTATTCAACATTACCTAAGGTTTTTTTATAGCAAAATTAAAAAATTATAAAGGTATATTTTTAATGATTTTTTTGTCATGAATATTTTTGTTATTTTTTAATACTTCTAATTTTGAATAATTTTATTTTATTCCAAAAATTTTGTTTTTTATCTACTCTACGTATAATACGTTTATATTGAAGGTGTTGATTTATTGAAAGTTATTGAGAACAAAGAGCAGCTCTCATTAATTTCATTATTATTGTTATTTATTAATTCGTAATTTAATATTTACAATGAAGTGAGAATTAACAAATCATCTAGAGTCAATATTTGGATTACCCTCACCAATAATTATTGATGCTTTTATGATGTATGTAAAAAACAAACTAAAAACGGTCGATTTATCAAAAATATTCGCTGTCTTTTTATGTATGAATCTATCGTGCAGAGCTACTAGAGCTACGGAAATTCAAAATTTGAATCATTTTTCGACTTTTTATCAATTAAACTAATTTAACTATATAAAGTTGTTTTATTAAATTAGCAGTGATTACAATTATTCCATTACAGCTTTAAAGATATTTAATTTAATTTAATTTTTTGCAACAAATATGGTTCATTCCATGTCAACTCGACCAATAGTTAAAATCGATCCCTTTCAATCCCTGATCAACACTTTTCTTCTATCATAAGACAAAGATTTGCAAAAGAAAAAAATTAGTAAGACGGTTGACCCTACAGGCCATCGCTGCAACTTCCCGCTAATTTCAAATATGCAAAACGCTCTAAATTTCAATTATTACGATGTTTTTAAGCTCTTCAATCTTCAAGGCTGAACAACATAGTGAGATCAGAGCATAATTTTTTAAGTATTTATTGAATGTTCTTCAAAAATTATTACCTACCATTTTTTGATAAAGTGAATTCTTCAAAAGTTATTTAAAGTCAAAGTTCAACTAAATTTTCATATAAGTTGAACTTTGACTTCACATAACTTTTGAAGAACTCAAGAGATCTATGGAAGTATACCACAACAACAAAAAAAAAGTTTTTATGATAAAATATTTCAAATAATTTGGAGCAGTGAAACTTCAAATTCATGTTCAAAGTTGAAATAAACAGAAATAAATTATTAAAAATGTTCAATAATTAAGTAAATTAACTTAACAAGTTCGATTAAGTTAATGAAGTATATTATAAAAAATATAAAACTTTAAAAACCCATTATGGTGCTTCCAAAATCATTTAAGAAGAGTTATGTTTAAACTTAAAATAAATCAGAGCAAAAAATTCTCGAATAGTTTTTTGTTGAATCACTTTAAGATAGTTGTTGCGTGATAAGTATTTCAACAGAAAATTATGAAGTTTTTTTTATTGAAAGGTAAATATATTAATAAGTCACTACCAAAATTTCAGATCAATTGACCTCACCGTTTTTGAGTAATTAATTTTCTAAATCGCATCTTTTACACGTAGAAGTATAAAAAGATGGTAAAGTTAGTATGAAATTTTCCGTACGACTCGAGTGGGCCAAATAAGTTCATACTAACTTTACCATCTCTCTATACCTCTACGTATAAAAAATGCGATTTCGAAAATTGATTACTCAAAAACGGTGCGGTCAATTGATCTGAAATTTTGGTAGTGAATTATTAATATATTTATCTTTCGATAAAAAAAATTTCATAACTTTCTGTTGAAATGCCGCAAAATGAAAAGGTTATAGGAGGCTTCAATATCTTTAAATCGATCTTGTTATTTTGGAAATGCATTTTTGGTGGATAAGCTACCGTCTCGATTGTCCTTAAAGCTAGAAAAGATCAATTTTTTTAAGTTACACGGAGAGAAATGGATGGCGTTTAACACTATGTCAGTATGGTCTCCAGACCGATACTAAAATAGTATGTGTAATATTGCGATTCAGTATTGTAACGAGTCCCATAAGTATGGCGTTATTTACTATGTAGTATAGTAATGATGCTATTGTATTTTTTATACGTATGCATAGCAGGCTTGGCAAGACAGTATGGTCCTGAGACCCATACTATATTGCTGATGACGCAAGGGTACTAGCGGTTCCCGCTATAATTTTTGGCGTGTTAAGCAATTAAACTCTTGTGTTACCACCAAAACAACACTGACGGAAAGATTTGTTTTTATTTAATAAGCTTTATTAACTGTTAATAAATGATTTTTTAACATCATAGGATTTAATAGATATTTATTAAAAGTTAAAAAATTATTTATTAAATACGATTTATTAAATGTTAATTAATATTTGTTAAGAGTTAACGAATATTTATTAACAGTTAATAAATATTTATTAATGGTTAATGAATATTTGTTAACTGTTAACAAATATTTATTTAAAATAAAAAACAAAAATAGTAATTTTCTTTTGATACTTCTTATGATTCTATAGCTGAAATACATGATAATAATTCAATTCACTAAATAAATTAACGATTTCAATATTTAAAAATATAAAATATAATTATTAGCTGTAATAGAATTTACTGAATTTAGTATTTTATAATAAACGTTAATATAATGTAATATAATTAATACAAATAATTTATAAAGATGATTTTTGTTTATAAACAATCTTCATATCATATGACATTACAAGGGAAACAAATTTACTCAAAAAAATATTTATCAACTGTTAATAAATATTTGTTAACTAATAAATAAATAATTATTAACTATTCATCAATGTACTTTCCTCCCAAATAAATATTTATTAAATGTTAAAAAACATTCATTAAAATTTAATAAATTAAATAATTGTCTTTAAATAAATTAAATTATTAATAGTTAATAAATCCTTCTATCAGTGTATATAAGGTAAAAGACCCAGTTATTGACACTGGCCTAGTTATTGACACTTGCAATTTTATTTTAATTAATTAAAACAAATCGACTCTAATAAATTAATAAATATAATTTTTTAACTATAAATTTTAAGATAATTGGTTTTTTGAGAACATTTTATTTTTTTAATTAGAATAAATTTTTTTTTAATAATTTCTCATATTTTTAATAAGACACATAAATTCTTGTAATTTTTTGATTGTTGTTGTTATTTTTCTTCACTGAAATCAATTCATATCAGAGTAAAAATAAAAAAATAACAATCATGTCATGAAATAATTAATATCATTTTTTATTTATATAATATATTTCGGACATAACCTACATCTATAATTAAATAAACATTGCTGTTACTCCAATAATGTTGTAGCTAAAATCACAATATTGGCTAGGTCTACCTACCAGAAGAATTGTACATACGGCAAGCCAGTATGGGCCTGACGGCTATACTAGCATTGCGGCATCCGCGATAACTATAGCCAATTTTACCATTCCCGCATGGTCGAATCATCTATGTGTACAGTTTAATAATGGACAAAAATCTTCGATACCATACTGTATGGCGTTCTCGCCCATACTGGTATAGTGGTATCTACCATCCATTTCTCTCCGTGAAGTAATGAATAGTATAATGTAAGAACAATTTTAATTTAATAAATTTTTTTTTAAGATAAAATATAACAGCCAAGAAAAATTAAAAATTTATCTAAAGCTTCTCAGAATTTATCAATAGTTGAAATTATATTAAAAATTTTTTAATTAGCAAGTTCAAAGAGCCCGGTCATCTGCAAGAATCGTATCTGTAATATCCAATCTCTTGTACGAAAAGAGATTTAAACTTTACTTTGTGGAGCTCAACATAAGGTAAAAGACCCAGTTATTGACAGTAGCCTAGTTGTTTGACATTTGCAACTTTATTCTAATTAAAAAAGTAAAATGTTGTCAAAAAACCAATTATCTTAAAATTTTTAACTAAAAAATTATATTTATTAATTTATTAGAGTTGATTTCTTTTTAATTAAAACAAAATTGCAAGTGTCAATAACTGAGCCTTTTGCCTTAGTCGGTTTGAATCCAGAAATTTTTGAGCCGTACCTCTGCAATATATATTTAATTGGCTGTTTGAATGAGCCAGAAGATTGTATCAGAGGAAGTATGTGCTAGAAACAATCTTGCGACATGTGTAAAATTGTGTATGAGCCAGATTTTGAATCAGAGGATTTATTCGAGACAATTTATAGGGTACTAAACTATTATTGTTTTCATTTATAAAATTAAAATGTATAAGATATTGATAACTATAAATATTCGGCGATACTTTGAATTCATATAAAAAAATTTCATCAAAATTTAAAAATTTTTCATAAGTATCTCAAAAATTTTTACAGGTCTATAAAAATAGATTTTGAAAAAGCCATATCTCATTGTATATGTTTTGCTTATTTGAATATAGGTATTATTCGGTTTCGAATGATCATTATCTTATGTAAATATATAAATATTTTAATATTTAGATGTTGTACAAAATTACTAAATACCGAGAGATAAATATTGTAAATAAAACATAATGTATAATTTTTTAGTAAGTAATTTATTTACAATAATTGAGTAAAAACTTTATTTACAAAAAATCTTAATTCTTAAACCAATTTAAGCACAAGAGATATTAAATCTCGGATAAATTGTAACAACTTTAATTAATCAAAAATAATACTTTCAGTTATTAAAAATTGGAAGCACTTTTCGGTGTGAACAAAAAATTGAAACCTCCGCATAAGACTCAGTGAAAAGAACATTAAAAATTAATAAATAATATACATCTTTAATTCAGACTGCTTTAACGTTGCATCATTATTTTTTATATGAAGCACCGATGGTTTGATTGAAAAAAAAAAAAAAAAAAAAAAAATAATACAATACAATTACTTTTTGTTGGTTGCATTTGAGAACTGTACTACCATATATTTACTTTTAAGTTTATAACCGTTAGTTTCATTAAGTGCAAGTTGAGCTTGCTCAATATTTTGAAATGTAACAAAAGCTTGACCTTTCATGCGGCCACCACGCATTAAATTAATATTGTACTCCAATTCTGAATTTTCTAAATTCGGTATAATGTATTTTCGATAAATATAATGCAAATCATCTTCATTTACTTCTTTCGCCAAATTCTTAATGTATAATCGGCACGATGGTTTACCCGGATGATAATTTTTAAACTCTGAAAACAATCTTTGATCTGGAAAAAATTAAAAAATAATTAATGCCCTATAAAAATATGTCGGAAAAAAATTATTTTAATTATGATTCTTAATTTACCATTTGCCGATATTCGATTGCTGGCTAACTCTTCAGAAGTTATGAATTCTTTAGATTTTTCACCCTCTTTTGTCTTTTCATCATTTCCATCATCAGTTTTTATTACAGGATTTATTATACCAAAACCACTTTCTGATGGTTCATGAGATTGATCGTTTGTATCAGTATTTACAATTTTATCAATTAGTAAACTATCGGTCTTTATAACAGTCTTCTTTTTTATTTCTTCTATTGGAATACGCTCAAATACATCTTCTGGCCGGATAATTTTTTGTTTTGTAGTAATAGGCTTCGGATGTACAGTAGGATTAACAAATTTCGGAATCTTTATTTTTCTTTTTCCTTCAGGTAATTTTCTTTTAACAGGAATAAATTCTTGCAGTTTATTCGTTTCTTCGTTATCCGATTCCATTTCTGATTCTTCTTCGTCTTCATCATTATTGCCATCACCCTTAACTTCCATTTCATCGTCTTCATCATCATCATTTTCCATCATATAATAATTATCAGTCAATAAAGAATCATCATTCTCGGCATTGATATTACCAAAGATATCTTTATATTTTTCCATATTATATACTTCTTTCAAGCTTGGAAATTCAGCTTCAAGTTCTTCGAAAGGTGGAGGTAAATTCATCTTATTCATTAAATGTAACACCTAATAGAAAAAAAAAAATAAATTAAAAAAAATTGTAAACAAATAAAATTATTATTATTTATTAACCAGAAAATATTACAGATAATAAATATATAATATAATATAATAAATGACATATCTGTCCTATAGAGATGCATAACATCTGTTCATAGGACTGGTATAGATTAAAATACAAATCAAGAAAGCTAGTTTACATATATAATTAATTTATAATAGTAGTTTAGAGAAAAATCAAAAGTCACATTGTTTTATCCATCGAATAAGACTTATTTTCAGTAATTTGATTGTTCCGGCAAAATATTTTAATTCGTTCGGTAATAAATTAAAATATTTAAAGGCCGTGTATTTTGCACTTTGACTTGTGATGTTTTTATTAATTTTAGAAAGTGAGATTGACTTATTTCTAGTATTGAAAAAAGTATTTGAAAATTTGTGCTTGCAATCATTGAAATAGAAGATGAGTGAGTTCACAATGAAAGTTTTTTGTATATTTAGAACATTACAATTTTCATCTATAATAATTTTTTGAATCAGTCTATTTTGAGTTGATACACTGAGAAAAAAAAAAATACTTTTGCTCAATTAACAATTTCTTGGCTCAAGAAATTCGCTGACGATCAAATAATCTATTATTATTATTAATTATTAATTTCTGAAGAGAAGAACATCAATATTTATCTTTGGATAATAGATAAACAAAAGAATAGCTTTATTTAAATTAAGTAACAATTATTTAAATCAATTTAACAATTTCTTGAACTAAGAATATATATTCTTGAAAATTTTCAAGAACATAAATTCTTGTATCAAGAAAATTTTGTTACTAAAAGTTTTTTTTTCTCTCAGTGTACTATAGAATTTCTAGTGGTACTATAAGCACCATCCCAGGCAATTAATCCGTAGTTAATAATAATACTTTCAATCATTGCATGGTAAATTATTTTTAAAATTCTTCTATTCACAAATAAACTAAGTTTATAGAAAACATATGTAAAAAATTTTAACTTAATTAATAACTCTTTGGTATGACAGTCCCATTTTAGTCTACTATCAATGTACTGTATCAATATAAAAGTATAAAAACAATTATTTTACCTGGGTATAAAAAGCAGGTTCTCTCAGAAGCTGGATTGAAATTCTTAACAAAATATTTCTCGTAGGTAATGGATATTTATAAGAAATATTTGGTGGTGGTGGTTGAGAAAAATTATAATTAGATGTCCAAGTATTTAATTTATCAATGAAGGCTTGAAAATTTTTAGTATTTGCATTATCATCTTTCTCATTTACATTCAATGGCTCTGATTTAAACAATACATTATCATCTGTGTCACGGACGAATGATTTTTTTGCAAATTCAACAGACAAATACTGTCCTTTTATTTCCAACTGATGTAATTGTAAAAATGCCTTTGTAGCTAATTCGGTCGATGGAAATTTAACAAACGTCGTTGTATATGTATCTGATTTTCTAATTGTTTTTGTACATTCAGCACCAAATTTTTTAAACAACTCATTTCTCTTCTCATCGCTTAAGTACGGAGGTAAGTGTAATACTCGGAGTGTATCACAAGGCTATAACATTGAAAAAGTTTTTTAGCTCACATTGTGGTAGGTTAGGGTCAAATCAATTATAATAACTATCATGGACTAATTAGCGAAAGAAAATTACCTGTTGTAACGACATGTTTTATTTTATTTTTTACTCAAATAATAAATAACAATTAATGATTATATACTCCTAATGATTGTCAATAAAAGTTATTTTTATACTTTCACAAAATGCGTAGAAAATAAACAAACGCACATAACTGTTTAGTATATTATTTACATTGTAATTATATACAATGAAACTCGAAATTTCAATAACAACACGTTAATGCCATCTATCAGAAGAAAATGAATTTATCAATCCGATTGTTGATAATGACGTAATTTTTTAATTTTTTTAACATAATAAAAAATTGTTTTTACACATACAAATAATTCTCGAATGAAAAATATACAAAAATAAAATATTTTTCTTCTTAAAAATACCTAAAGTATGTAATAGAAATTTTTCTTAAAGAACCAAAAAAATTTTTTCTTCTATTTTAAAATACGCGAAAAAAATTAATTCTTTTGTTTTCGGGACATGTATGCCAAAATAATTTTTTTTTAATTTTACTCGTGTCTTATTTATAAAAAATAAAAATAAATATTTTGAAATGTCATTATTGCAATAATAATAATAATAATATTATTATTAACAGGTAAAATACAAACATTCGCACCTCGATAAAAAAAAAAAAAAAAGTACAAAAAAAAAGAGTTTATAGATTTTCATAGAAAAAAGAACTGTGATATTATTACGCAGTTGCCAATGGCAACAGTTTATAGGGAACTACTTTCGGAAGTCTCTCGAAAGTGGTCGAGGCTGGCGGGATTGCCGGCTTTATCCAAAATATAATTTAATACTCCGTATTTTGTAATTAAATTAATAAATAATTTAAAGTTTTGATTTACCTGTTTCTATGTATTTATCATTAGGAATAAATATTATTTAAGATTTAATTATGATAAACAAATAAAATACTGATAAATTTGTTATTTGTTTAGTCGTCCATCAATGTGCCATTGATTACGCGTAATACATTTTAGTGCATTATAAAAAGATACAAAGCTAATCCGTTGTTAGGTAAATTATTGGCCATAAATAATGTAAGTACTCAGTAATAAACTTAATTATGAATCAATAAATTTTTTAAAATAATTTTTTATTTAGATTAAATTTTTCTGTAATTACGTAAAATGCAGCCATTTTTTAATTTTTAATGCTTCTGCAATCAGTAATCAATGCTGTGACCCGAACTTAATATTAGAATTATTAATATATTCTCATATTTATAATATATGATAATGTATACTTTAGATAAGTTTTTTTTATTTTATATAAAAAAATTTTTTTAACCAATTTTCATTTTGTTTCTTTTTCATTAGGCTTCATCGGGATCGAAATTTAGGCAGAGGCCGTGGTAATGGAAGTAATAGAAAAGAACGTGGTGGCTATGATAATAATAATTATGGTAATAATCGGTTTGCGGGTCGTGGAGGCAATACCAGTGGAGGAGTCAAAGGCAAAATGCCTGGGAGTGCCTTAAAAAAATTGAACTGGGACATATCGTCATTAGAACCAGTGAAGAAAGATTTTTACGTTGAACATTCATCTGTATCAAGAAGGTATTGAATTTTTTTCCTTTTAAAGTTTAATTTTTATAATTTTCTTTGTCATTAATTTATTAAAATTTTATATTTATAGATCACCTGATGAAATTAATAAATTTCGTCAGACTGCTGAGATAACTGTAAAGGGAAACAACGTTCCTAATCCAATTCAGCATTTCCAGGAGGGGAATTTCCCTCCCTATATCATGGAAGGAATAAGAAAACAAGGATTTTCACAACCAACAGCTATTCAGTCTCAAGGATGGCCTATCGCTCTCAGTGGTCGAGATCTTGTAGCAATTGCTCAAACAGGTTCAGGAAAAACCTTAGGAGTAAGAGACAGTCAATTAATATTATTGATCTGAAAATATATTTATATTTTTTATTGAAATTGAAACTAATTTTTAAACATATTGTCTATAGTATATTTTGCCTGCAATCGTCCACATAATTCATCAACCACCGTTGAGTCCTGGAGATGGGCCGATAGCTTTAATTCTTGCACCGACTAGAGAATTGGCACAGCAAATTCAAGAAGTAGCCAATTATTTTTGTGAAACAGCATCAGTAAGAAACACATGCATATTTGGGGGAGCTCCAAAAGGACCTCAAGTAAGTGATCTTGAGCGAGGAGTAGAGATATGCATCGCTACACCTGGAAGATTAATTGATTTTCTTGAACGTGAAACAATAAATTTACGACGTTGTACTTATTTGGTACTTGATGAAGCAGATAGAATGTTAGACATGGGATTTGAACCGCAAATACGTAAAATAATTGAACAAATTCGACCTGACCGTCAGATTCTTATGTGGTCCGCAACGTGGCCAAAGGAAGTCCGTACTTTAGCTGAAGATTTTTTGACTGATTATACACAATTAAATATTGGATCATTGACTTTGTCTGCTAATCATAATATTATTCAGATAATTGATGTGTGTCAGGAGTTTGAAAAAGATATTAAATTACAGCGACTGTTGCAAGAAATTGGCACTGAAAAAGAAAATAAAACAATCATTTTTGTTGAAACTAAACGTAAAGTTGATGACATTACAAGAAATATAAGAAGAGATGGATGGATAGCTCTGAGTATTCACGGAGATAAAAATCAACATGAGAGAGATCATGTTTTGCAAGAGTTCCGTAGTGGACGGGCACCAATTCTCGTAGCAACTGATGTAGCAGCTCGTGGTTTAGGTAAATATTTATTAAATTATAAATAAAATAAATAAATTTTATTTGTATCACACGAGTGTGTTTTACAAACTTTTACAAAGATTTTTTATGATAAAATAATCTCTTTTTTCAATATTTCTTTCTCTTAATTAACATTAATTATGGTATTCACTATTTCTACTTTGCATTGCAGTTTTTTTATAATTATTATTAAATTATATTTATATTAAAAAAAAAAAATTCATCAAATTAATAGCTTTTCATAGAACATTATTTAAAGAAAAGAATGAAAAGAATTTTTTAGTTTGCTAGTTAGTATGAAAAAAAATATGTATAATTTTCTCAAGAAAATAATCGCTAGTATGTGCTAAAGAATTTTCTCAAGTATGAATAATAAATAAAAATGTCTTGAGTATTACTGTAATGACATCATCTTTTCTATACTGAGAATTGAAATATCAGTTGATAATCTTGCTTGTAATTTTTAGAAATATTTTTAACTCTACCTTATGAAATAATAAGTCCCATTTAATGTAATTTATACTTTGAATAAAATTATTAATTTAAAATTTAATAAGACAAAAATGAATTTTCAGATGTTGACGACGTGAAGTATGTTATAAATTTTGATTATCCATCATCATCAGAAGATTACATACATCGTATTGGACGTACTGGTCGCCGACGTCAAATTGGAACAGCATATGCATTTTTCACTACACACAATATGAAGCACGCTGAAGATTTGATTGCAGTATTACGAGAAGCTGGCCAAAATATAAATCCACGTCTTAGTGAGATGGCAGAACTCGCTAAATCCTCGCAACATGTAGGAAAAGGTAATCATTTTAAAAGCTTTAAACAATTGTATTATACATATTTTTTTATAATCAATAAATTTATGAAAGGTGCAAAAAAATACGGTGCTCAAATCCCAAGAATCAATGAACGAGTTGACAACAGGCGTCCTGGCAATTATGAAAACAATGGGAAAGGCCGAGGGAATACTATTAATAACAACAATAATTACCGAGGTGGAACGTCTTATCAATCTGCTATTAATGCTTATTCAGGATCGAATTATAATCAACCTGCGAAACAATCATTTGATCAAAATTATTCTTATGGTTATACTGCACAAAGAAGTTACGCACAAAATGATTCTGCGTACCATAACAATGATAACGGATACAATTGCAATTACTCTGCACCAAATTCTTATTAAAGAAAAAAATAGATAATGATAGTGATTATGCACTTATTTATTATGATAACATTCAGTTCCGTTAATCACAATCTTTGTGTAATATTAAAAAAAAAAAAAAAAAAAAAACACCAAATATCATTAATATTTTCATTTAAAGTGTTACTCAATCATATTCTACAAATAGTATTAATTATAGATGTTGTTATTATTTAAAAAGTTTGTATATCTTAAATGCAAAGCATTTAGATAAACTTTCTTCTCATTTATTTTTTGTTTGGCTAATTCATAGCACAGTATGATTATATCTACATTTATAAGTAATATGATTAATAATTTAATTTAAAAAAATAAAATTCTTATTAATGTGTGATTTAATTCATAATGAATTCCAAGTTTCTGTGATCTGTGACTGACTTAGTCTTAGATTTAAACTGTTGAATATAATAAAGAACTTGCAATTAATAAAAATAAGTTTTTTTATTTTATAATATTAAATTACAAATTTAAAATTACCGCCAAAAGTCATGCGCTTACTACTTGTCCATTTAGTTTCCTACTTCGTTCATTTTTATTGATCCGTAAGTCCAAATTGGAGTTTGATAAATAATATATCATCTCTTCTAATTTAAAGTCTTAATAAAATAATAACAAAAATTAATTTTATTAACTATAAAAAAAAAAAATTTTTTTGTTGATTAATTATTATTTTTATTTTACGTTAAGTGAAGTAAATAATTTTGGGACTATTTTGTACATTATTCGTCCGCCATTGACGTTTCACAACAGTATACACAACTTAATTGTGGTAAAGTGACGCGTTCATACTAATTATTACGAAATAATATCAATTTTTAGAGCAAATTAACTCTTTGAACATTAATAAATTTCAATTTGTTCGGTCATCTAATCATGTAAGTATCATAAATAATAAAAATATTTTTATGTTAAAGTTTTTACAAAAATAAACTATCTGAATATTTTGTTTTTTTATATATAAAACTTAAAAATAATTTGATAAATGTTTTTTAATAAAAAATGAATAAATTAACAGGGCTTTTCGTGATCGTGATCGGAACGATAGGCGAGGAAATGGAGGCGGTGGTGGAGGACGAGGTGGATCTGGAGGTGGCGGTCGTTTTGGAGGCAATAGAGATGGTGGATCTCGTTATGGGAATAATGGAGGCAATCGTGACAGCGGTGGATTTGGTGGTGGGAATTCATTTAAAAACCGTCAACCAGGTGAAAGATTACGAAAACCAAGATGGGATTTAGATAGTCTCCAGCCATTCCGTAAAGATTTATACCAACCAAATTTAAGTGTCACCGCCCGTTCAACCCATGCTGTTGACGCTTACCGCTCCAACAGAGAAATAACAGTAAAAGGTTTAACAATACCAGGACCTAATATTTATTTTGAAGATGGTGGCTTTCCTGATTACATTTTAACTGAGTTACGTAGACAAGGTTTTGATCAACCAACAGCTATTCAAGCACAAGGTTGGCCGATTGCACTGTCTGGCCGTGACATGGTTGGAATAGCACAAACTGGATCAGGAAAAACTTTGGCGTATATTTTACCAGCAATCGTCCACATAAATCATCAACCGCGTTTAAACAGAGGAGATGGACCTATCGCTCTTGTATTAGCACCAACGAGAGAACTTGCACAACAAATCCAACAAGTTGCTGCTGACTTTGGTGTTTCATCACAAGTAAGAAATACTTGTATATTTGGTGGAGCACCAAAAGGACCACAAGCACGTGACCTTGAGCGGGGCGTTGAAATTTGTATTGCAACACCAGGACGTTTAATAGATTTTTTAGAACGTGGTACGACTAACTTACGACGATGCACTTACTTAGTACTTGATGAAGCTGATAGAATGTTAGACATGGGATTCGAACCTCAAATAAGAAAAATTGTTGAACAAATACGACCTGATAGACAAACACTGATGTGGTCAGCGACCTGGCCGAAAGAAGTTAGAAATTTAGCGGAAGAATTTTTATCTAATTATATTCAAATAAATGTTGGTTCACTGACATTGTCAGCTAATCATAATATCCTTCAAATAGTTGATGTGTGTGAGGAGTACGAGAAAGAAAGTAAACTTATGAAGTTATTAGAAGAAATTTCAAATGAACCAGAAAATAAAACTATAATATTTGTTGAAACCAAGAGAAAAGTTGATGATATTACTCGGGCTATCAATAGATACGGATGGCAAGCGATTGGCATTCATGGTGATAAAAGCCAACAAGAAAGAGATTACGTTCTTAATCGTAAGTATTAATTTAAATATTGAATTAAGGGGGTATTCTGGTCTAGAAATTTGAAAAATTCGAATTATTTTTTTTCGCATATCTGCAAAGTTTAGACCCTTAAAATTATGTCCTTGAGTGGATTTTCAAAAATCCGAATTATTTTCGGAGATACCGTGGATTTTGTGACGCAGCTGCTTCTGCTTCTGCTTCTTCAATAGAAGGCAGAACAGCTCGATTAGCAGAAAGAACTTCGCAAAACATCGAGTAGGAAGTAGAAGAAGGCTCAATTTACGGATCTGGGATTTGCGATTAATCCAAAGTGAATATTAAATATTATTATGAGTTATTTTACTGAAATCGTTTCTAAAACTTTAAACGCGATTTTCTCGAAACTACTTTTTTTAAAGTGGTTGACATGATATCTTAAGTTCTACCGCACCGATTCCTTTGAAATTAAGTGGGAATTTGTTTTATATATCTCTCTATCGCGTCTGCTACGGATTTCAAAAAATTTCAATTTGGAGTATTTTTAAAAAATTCGAAAAGGTCAAAAAAAAGGGTAAAAAAATTGATATTTTATGTCGACGCCATTTTGGGAATTTTTTTTTTTTTTTTACTATAGTCAACGCGATAGCGACATCTTTACAGTTTTAGAAGACCCCCTTAAGGGGGTATTCTGGTCTAGAAGCCTATTTAGGCTAAAATTTTTTAGGCATTTTTCAATCTAACATAAAAAAAAAAAAAGGAAAAACGTTTTTACTATCCGTTTTTTTATATGATATTTATTTACATTTCAAGAATATAAAAAAAAAAAAATGAGAAATTCGAAAAATTACTGGTCGGTTAAGTGGGGACTACAAAAAAACGGTGCACCCTGGTTGACATGATTCCAGCCCTTGTAATGATCTGAAACAAAAAAATTTGAAAAATTCTGAATTAGTGAAGATGTCGCTATCTCGTTGACCTTAGCCAAAAAAAAATTCACAAAATGGCGTCGACATGAAATATCAATTGTTTTTTTTACCTTTTTTTGACCTTTTCGAATTTTTTAAAAATACTCGAAATTGAAATTTTTCAAAATCCAAGACGGACGCGATAAAGAGATATATAAAGAAAATTCTCCCTAAATTTCAAATGAATCGGTTGCGTGGAACTTGAGATATCATGTCAACCACTTCAAAAAAAGTAATTTCGAGAAAAATACGTTTAAAGTTTGAGAAACAATTCTAGTAGAATAACTTGGATAATAATATTTAATACTCTTTGGATTAATCGGCGATCCCAGATCCATACATTGGGCCTTCTTCTTCTTCATACTCGATGTTTTGCGAAGTTCTTTCTGCTAATCGAGCTGTTCTGCCTTAATTTGAAGAAGCAGAAGCTCGTAATTGTGTGACTCGCTCCGATCGGCCGGCTTAGATGCTGCGTCATAAAATCTACTGTATCTCCAAAAATAATTCGAATTTTGAAAAATTCATTTAAGAACATGTTCTTAAGGGTCTAAACTTTGAAAATATGCAAAAAAAAAATCAATTTTTTCAAATTTCTAGACCAGAATACCCCCGTAACTAAAAATTTTTTTAATTGATTATTTAATTGAATTTGATTATTCACAGAATTTCGCAGTACTCGATCGGCAATTTTAGTAGCTACAGATGTTGCAGCTCGTGGGTTAGGTAAGAATATATTGACAAGCGATTAAATAAGATGTAAGGGTCAGGCTGCGATGGTTATTACCGCGTTAATTAACAGTCAATATCTTATAAATGTGGCCACGGATAACGGCATATGCCAGACTGATTGACGCTGCTGCTCTATTACGCTTCTTAAACAGCCGACGGTGTAAACAGTAGTTTAGGAAACCTAAATTATTTATGTAGCTAGATTGAAGAAATTTATTTAGAAATTTTCAGGTAAAAAAAAAAAAATAAAAAATAAAAAGAGTGTAAGGTAAGATTTTAGTGAGGGTTTTAGACTTTTTTTTTTTGTTAATTAAGAAGGAGACAAGTCTTGTCAGTCTGGTAATAACATGCTGTTCTATGTGTTTTCAGAGGCACATGCGACGGAGTTTTATCAATGATAAGAACTCTGGAAGAGCTTGCTTTGGAATAAATAATTGAACGGGGTGTGACTGCTGGTTGCTGTCCCCTCGCAACAAGCTAACATTACGCTGTGCCTCGGTATCAACCGTGCCACTTGTTGAAATACCACACTCTCGCTCTGTACCTGCGACGGTCCAAAGTATGGAAGTTAATGTTAGGGCATCTAGTCAAGACGAACACTTATGGATTACATCAATTATAGTTGCTTTAATTTAAGTTGAAAAACAGCATCAACCAACTGCCTTCTGAAAGTCAAAAATGATCATAAAACCCATTGGTGACAATTGACTAAAAATAATCAACTTTTTTTTTTTTTTTTTTTATTTAGCAACGATATAATCACTAATTTATTCAAAAAGTCGTCCATACAATTCATGACATTGTTTTAAAATTTATTATATAGACAATAAATATTGAAAAATACTTATTTTTTATACTTCAACTACAACGTATCAATGAGTTATTGGAAAGAAACTGAGAATCAGATAAAATCCAACAAAGATCCATACTTTGGTGCGGGAGAGACGGGTGTGAATTTGTTAAAGCATTAATCTAGAGCTCGCTAATCTCTCATGCGAGACTTGACAACCATCTGAGCTCTGATTCCTCTACATTTCCAAAAAAATGTATTTACATTCCAGCCTTTAAAATCAACAGGTAATTTAAATGTGGTTGCTCTTTGTGGTCGATTCACTTTCGCTGATTGTTTATTATGTACATAAAATTTTATTTAATCTACTTATTTGTTTACTTAGTGTTTTTATCATAAAAACAAATAACTATTTTTAAAAATTTTATTATCTATTCTATAGAATTCTGTTTTCATAGTCTACGAATTCACACTACTCATAATGCTTTTGAAAAAATTTGCTTTGTGATATTGATTGCACCACAAGAGACACTATTTTTTAATAATTATGTATTTGATGAAATTATTTTATCCAACTAGACGTTGAGGATGTCAAGTTTGTGATAAATCTTGATTATCCATCGAATTCTGAAGACTATGTCCATCGTATTGGACGAACTGGACGTTCAAGGCGAACCGGAACGGCGTATGCTTTTTTTACTCCTAACAATGCGCATAAAGCCAACGATTTGATTCAAGTTTTAGAAGAAGCTAAACAAGTTGTTAATCCAAAACTATATGAACTTGCAAGAAATCCAAATGCTTTCAAAAGTAATAAATTATTCAGCTATAAAAATTTTTTTTTTTTTTTTTTTCATTTATCTATTTGAATATTATAATTTTTTTTTATATTTTAGGAGGAAGATTTTCGGGAAGAAATGGAGGTGGAGGTGGATCACGTGGTGGTAATGCGCGTGGTGGTGGTGGTGGTGGTTCTCGAGGTGGCCGAGATTCCGGTGATAGAAACAGATTTGATCGTAATATTGGAGGAGATCGTGGTATTAGTGGAGCCGGTGGGAATAAATGGGGTGCAAGTAATTCAGGTTAATATACTTGTTGAATTTTTTACTCTTTTTGACAAATTAATTGTAAAATTAAAAATATTAAATGATAATTTTTCTCTTTAAGGTGGTATGGGCGCAAATAGTTATAACAGCAAACCTTTTTCGTCAAATAACTACGGAGGAGGTAATTCAACTAGCAACAGCTATAATCAAAATGGTAACTCGTACGGAAATAGTAATTCTTACAACCAACGAAATGGTTATTGATAAGATAGAGCTTAATAAATTGTCGAGAGAAAAAAAGGAAGAAGAATATTTAATTATCCAACAAATAATATCAGCAATCATGTATTAATTAATAATGGCAGTCAATATAAAAAAAAGTACATAGAATATTTTTTATTTAGAATAATAATATTAATATTAACAAAAAACTGGTTGCTTGATTTATTAATTTAGAACAATTATTTTATTTGTGGAAAAATAAAACTGCAAGCAAAAAAAAAGTTGAAATGAAACTTTTTTTAATGACATTCACTTAATGTATTTATAAATGCACACACGTTTTTGTATTTATTGCTAGTAACGTCATCTCGGCTAGAATAGAATTTGATTGTTAAAAAATCGATTAAATTAAATTAGTTTATTTTTAAAATAAGTAACTAAGTATAAGGAAATATGTATCAGTAAAATAAATAATAAATTAGAATTATTACTTTGAAAAATTTAATTGCAAAGTTGACTGATTAGCATTTTTAAATTGATAAGAATTAAAAGAAATGTGGTAGTCATCACTAATCGAATGTGAAAATAATTGGAAGAAGGAATATGCTACTTTTCATTGGGTCTACCGTTATCAGCAATCATCCGACGTGGTCAGAGTCGCGTACCACTCATATCTTTTAAAAAATGAAATAAAACATTCATTTTACGTACAATAAAAATAATTTAATAACATATGTTTTGACTGAATAAAATTTTTATTTAAAAGTCTAGACGTTAGAATAATTGACTTGATTATCTATTTAAACCAGATTAAAAAATCAAATGAAAATAAAAACAAAGCCTTGAGCTAATTTCACCTTGGATTTCCTTTTAAATTACAGCGTCAAGTCTATGAAAAATTTTATTGGCTCAAAATAAATTGAATATAATTTACAGCTGTACAGTAGATAAAAAAAATTCCCAAACCACTTTGTTTATTAGTGATAAAAAAAAAAAAAACAAGTTCAGGAAAAATTTTATTTATCAGTACAATAATTCATTAGTTAGTCGTATGTTAAACGATATGATTTAACAATTACGATTTCTCACTTTTAAAACATATAAAATTGTTATTTAACGACGTCATATGCGTAGAAATAGATGACGTTTATGCGCAGTAGACCGAATAAGTGGCAGCACTCGCATTCATTTCAGTTCGTCTCTAATCCTCGGTGTGTTTTCATGCCGCGGTAACTAGTTATTTCTATACTTGATTTATATTCTGTTTAATTGATTTTAAATTTATTCATAGTTTTATTATTTTAAAATATCAAATCTGTATACTTATGAATAATTAATTTTGTTTAATATTATACATATTTTTATACAAAATGAGTGAAAAGCGCAAAGAAGTTCGTGTGTGGTGTGATGGATGGTAAGCATTATCATATCAATAGTATTTTCTCAAAGTAATGTTCATTTTAATAAATAGATTATTTTTAAAATAAAAGTAACATATCCCACAGAGAAAATTCTAATAAATTCATTTTGCGCTGAAGTAAGACCCTTGCATAAACACAGCATGGATATAAGGCTCTTAAATCCATGCGGTGTAGATCCTGTCAGAATTTTTTTTTACCTGAAAATGAAGTTGTCTTTATTTCATACCGCATTCGAATAACATATTATTATTTTGAAGTGAATTTACTGCTTGTCATGTTATTATTTTAATTTCAATAAATAATTTATTTTAATAATTAATTAATTATAATAACAATCATTTAATTATCATTGCAATAACAGTCAATAATTAAATTTTATTTACAGTTATGACATGGTACACTTTGGACATGCCAATTCTTTGAGGCAAGCCAAAGCTCTTGGTGATTATTTGGTAGTTGGAGTACACACTGATGAAGAAATAACAAAACATAAAGGACCGCCAGTTTTTACACAAGAGGAAAGGTATAAAATACTTTAATCAATAATTAAAATATATTTATCGAAACTATCTCAAATAATAATTATCATAATGAGCAATGATAATTATAAAATTAAAAATATTATAGGTCAAAGTTTAATACTATTAAATGAATATTATAAGCTTTGACAGGAAATCCTGGATCCTTGACCTTTACAGCTATAATTTAACTAATTATTAATGTAAGACTGGGTATAATCCATTCCAACTGTTGTTGATTTTCAAATCAATAATAGTACTTAGTGTATGCATTACTATTAATTAAGTATTTGAACAACTTATATTACATTTATGACTATTGTGTGGTAACAATCGATAAATGAGTCACTAATTTGTAATTCGATAGGTTTCATGATACAAAACTTGATAGTAATATTGTATACTTACTTACATGATACAAATAGATGTAAAATGTAATATTATATCAGATTTAATTATTCATGTTCTCTACGTCAAGAATGTCAGATAACTATCCATAGATAATAACACCGGAAAAAAAATGCCAGACATTTTTTTATTTTTAATTTATGACGATTGACGTAATTTAATACTAAATTGTATAGTGTAAAAAACAAAATAATTACTGAGTACTAGTTTTCTATGTAGTTTTCGTGTTTTCTGGGCTAATAATAATAATAATAATAATAATAATATCCTATGTATCTGATTACACACTTTGCAATAGTAATATTGATAAGTCACGAGTAATTTTTTAGTCAATATGCGTGTAAAAAATGTCAACGATAACAAAATTGTTCAGCTAAATGCAAATATAGTGTTTCAAGTGACACAAAATTTTATTGTTGAATGTTTTTAAGATAATTATTTTTATTCTTATTAATTATTATTATTATTATTATCATTATTATTATTATGTAATGCAGGTACAAAATGGTGCGAGGTATTAAATGGGTAGATGAAGTTGTTGAAGGTGCTCCCTACGTCACAACACTCGAGACATTAGATAAATATAATTGTGATTTCTGTGTTCATGGCGATGACATTACAATGACAGCTGACGGAGTTGATACATATCATCTTGTTAAAGCTGCTGGCCGATATAGGTAATTGTTATTACTATAATATTGCGTGCCTAATCCCAAAAGGGTGGATAAAAGTTATACGCCCTTTTGGATTTACAAAACCAAAAAAGGCGTATAATTTTTTTTTTTTTGGTGCCAATCGTTTTGTAAACATGTTCAAAGCCTAAAAATGAAAAAAAAAATTTCTAAAGCCAAAAGAGCGTATGTCTGAAGTTATACACCCTTTTGGCTTTAGAACACTGAAAATTTAGTTATCTTAAGCCAAAAGGGCGTATAATTTTTAACTTCCCGTTGAAAAAAATTAAAAATTTTCTAAAAGCAGGAAGTTATTGGTTTTACCCCGTTTTTTGAAAATAGAGTTTTCATCAGATCTATATTCAGCTATAATCAGCTCAAAAAATATTTTAACGATTAGTTAATAATGTCTTACTTATAATAGGACGTTTTTCATTCTATATATACATATTATGGATTTTAACTACAATTTTATGCAACGGATAAGAAGGAAATTTATAAAAAATATAAAATTTTAGTACGCGAAAAAATTTTTAATTCATATCGACGTTCTAATTAGCAAATTGTCTAACTCCATTTTAGAGAATCTTCTATTTGTACGAAGAAAACAATTAGTTCAAAATTTATTATGACCTTAAAAAACCATTTAATATCATTATTATCTAATAGAGATATAATATTTAGGTTTGAATCATTCTAATAATTCATAATTGGATTATTGCTACATCAAAATGTTAGAAAATTACTCTCTAAAAAATAGTGAGTTAGACAAATTGCTAATTAGACCGTCGATATGCTTCTTTAATCATTGGACTGTCCAAAATAATGAAAATTTAAATTTACTACTATCAAAAATGTTGACTTTTTCAAAATTTTTTTTTTTCACAAACTTTCTCCGGACAATTTTGAAACTGTTGTTCAAAATTATGAAAAATCCTGATTTTTTTATACGCCCTTTTGGCTTTGGACCTATAATCTCTTAAAGCCAAAAGGGCGTATATCTTAAGATACGCCCTTTTGGCGTTAGTACGTCAAAAATTTTTTTCTGCAGATCTTTACGTTTCGAGCGATTCTAAAAAGAATGGCAAAAAAGATTTTTATACCCCCTTTTGGCATTAGGCACGCGATATTTTTAATTTTATTAATAAATAATTATTGAGTTTTTATTTATTTATTTTTATTTTTATTTTTCATCAGGGAAGTTCAAAGGACGGCTGGAGTTTCTACGACAGATTTAGTAGGACGTATGCTGTTAATGACACGACAACATTTCAAACAAGGTGATAGTGAGTACAGCGTAGATAGAGAACCAAGCGAAAGTATGGGTCAAGATAGATCTGCTCGTAGTCCGTGGACAGGGTGCTCCCAATTTTTACCTACAACTCAAAAAATAATTCAATTCAGCGATGGAAAAAGTCCGCAACCTGGTGATAAAATAGTTTATGTCGCTGGAGCGTTTGATCTGTTCCACGTTGGGCATTTAGATTTTCTTGAGGTGGCTAAACGAGAAGGAGATTATTTAATTGTTGGTTTACACACTGATCCCGCTGTTAATCGTTATAAATGCGGTAATCACCCTATCATGAATCTTCATGAACGAGTTCTCAGTGTATTAGCATGCAAGGTAAAAAATTATTTAACTACCACGTTGATAAATATAGCTATTTACGTAACGATAACGTTTTTTGTTTATCTTTCAGTATGTCAATGAAGTTGTTATTGGTGCGCCCTATGAAGTGACGAAAGATTTGATGGAACACTTTAATGTATCCATTGTATGCCATGGTCAAACACCAATTATGCCATGTGAAGGTGGCACTGATCCTTATATTGAACCCAAAAGGCAAAATAAATTTAAATTACTGAATAGTAAGAATGATATGACTACAGAAAAAATCATTGAAAGAATTATTTTACACAGGTAGGATTTTTTTAATTAAATTTATGTATTTATCATTATATATATAAGAGATGCAAGAAATATGAATTGATTACGTATGAATTTTTTTTAATTTAAAAAAAATTGTATCATTTAGCTCTTGCATCTCTGATTGACGCTGATACTACGGAAGTATAGATTCTTGATTTATTTTAAGGTATTATATATTATTAAATATATTTTATTCAATCACTTATTTATTCATTCACGTTTACTTCCGTGATTCAGCAGTAGATTTAAATCAAAATTTGTTTTATTTAAGCAATTTGTATGCATCTATTTTTTTTTCCTTTACGTACTCTTAGGTCAGAGGAGCTTTATTCAATTATAACGTGCTTGAACAAAAGATAATTAATTGCATTTTTATGTTTTGTAATCCGTTATTGCTCAATTTCTAATAAAATATCCTTTATTCTTATTAATAACTATCTATAATTTTTTGTTTATTGAATGTTTTATTTTTATTATTATTTTTCTTATGCCGTGACTATATTTCCATACACTACATTTTTTTTTTTTTTTCGATGAGGTAAAAAAATGTTACTGATAACTATTCAAATATTAATCGTAAATCGCTATCGAAGATATAATTACATTATTTAAAAATAACAATCATAAACGATAGTTTTTATATTACAACAAACTTGATGGCATTGACAATGAGTACTTAAACGATATTTTACTTCAAAACTGATAAGTAAAAATATTATTTGTTTAGTTATTAGTTTATTTACCTTAAAAAAAAAAAAAAAAAAAAACAAAAACATACATACATAAAAAATTAGTCTTATTTATTAATTATTTTATTATTTTAATGTAGTCAATAGTGATGTTAAACCTCTAGTTTAAATTACAGATTGGAATTCGAGGATAGAAATTTAAAAAAGGAGAAAAAAGAAATTGCTGCTTACGAAGCCTTCGTTAAATCACAAAATAAGGAAATATCTGAATAAAATAAAATAAAAAAAAAATATTTTTTTCTAAACTAAACTTTAATTCAATCATAAATTAATTCAAATGAAACAATCAATTCAATTAAGTGTGAATATCAAAGGGTAAAGTTTAAATTTCTATTTATTGCCTTTTATTTAAAAAAAAAAAAAAAACAAAAAAGAAAAAATAATAAACAAAATATTAAATCATCGTGTGTGATTTTCCCAAACTCACTATTTTAAAGTAGCCTAAGATAACGCTTTAATAACTTGAAAAGACTTTAGATTATTAAAAATGTATTATTGTTAATCCTAATTAAATCATTAAATGAATTTTAAGTTAAATTGTTTGATAGATAAACAGTTTTTAAAATGAAATTATCACAATATAGTTTGTGCGCCGTACGTGTCAGAGTAACTCACTTACTAATAGTCTGCAATGTGACAAAAAAAAATAAACCAAAGACATGTGAAGGCCAATCAATGTTAATTAATGTTTTATTTTTATAATTTTAAGAACACTCAGTATACATATTGTTTAAATTTAATTTTTATTTAATAAATATCATATCAGTCAGATAAAAACTACATGTTATTATACTAATTATTTATTTATCGATTTTTTTTAATAACCTTGACAATTTTCAATGTATATATTACTTTGTAGTGATAACTTAAAATTAAATCAATTATTAATAAGGAAAAAAAAATATTTATGAAAATTGTCACTGATATTAAAAATATATTGACATTTATCTAAATATATAAATAATATAATATAATTAATTATATATTTGTTTTATATACAAAGTAATAATTTACCCAAAACCAGTCAGTCCTTTTAATAACTCACCCCACCCATTTCCACTAAAATAATACAGTTATAAATAATACGTAAAATTTAATGAGCAAAAAAAAACGTCACAATTTCGTTTCTTCAGGTCACGCCATAGCTTTGCACATTTCTTATGAAAAATAACTATATGTTTTTTAAATAAAATAAATTACTGATAAAAAATGATTATAGATTATGACTAATGATATGTGAAATAATAATTAATGATCCACATGATACATGATTTATGACAAAAAAAATCCTAATAAAAATTGTAATTTATTGCATGATCGTACGACCAGTGTAACCTGGTGCGGGTTCACAGTATTTTCTTGAACGCTCCCTGATTAATTCATCGATGGATTTATTTTGAGGCACACTTGTAGTTATGTTGTGTAATCGTGATATTAGATAACACATGATAAACGCTGAAAACATAAGTAACACACCAAGGCCAGTAGCTACGTAGAGAAAATTCCCACAATTTCCTTCTAAGCCCAATGCAACTTTGTCATAAAGATCTACAAAAAAAATTTTTCAAAAAATCAACTATTATTACTAAATTAATTTAAAAAAATAAATTGATTAGTAATTACCACTAGGCATCATAACAGTATACTCAATATTTTCTTTAATTTTAGTAAATTGTGTTGAGTCATTATAATTTTGAATTAACCGTTCCACTTTCGGTTCATTACTTCCATTTCCGGACATTTCTTCAACAAATCCATCTGCTCTACGTTTTCGTTTCCCGTGACCAGACGGCTCAAATAGATCCAAACAAAAATCCTTTAAAATATTATTATTTCATCAATTAACTGTAATTTTTAAACTTAATTTTATACACTGAGAGAAAAAATTTATTTTGAAAAAATTAGATATAGTTGTGACAAGAAATTAATTTATAAATTAATTAAAAAGAATTTTATAGATTTGGGAAAAAACAATTTTGGATGAAAATTTCCAAGTTGTCTATCTAAAATTTTTCTTTTCTAAATCAAATAAAATTTTTTTTCAACAAAAAAGTTACTATAGATAAATTTTTGATTTCTTCAGTTAAGAAAAAAAATTATTTAAAATTTTCAACAAATTAATATCCATTTTTTCCAAAGAAATTTTTTTCTCTCAGAGTACACAGAAAAAACAAGATTATACTTGATATAATCCAAGATTATAATGAGTGAAAAAAAATTTCAGATAGTAGCTAATATAATCCAGATTACAATGAGTATAATCTAGATATCACGGAGTATAATCCGGATTACAATGAGTATAATCCAGATATCACGCAGTATAATCCGAATTTTTCTAGCTACTATCTGAAATTTTTTTTTTCACCACGGTTATCACTGAGTATAATCTGGGATGATATCCAGTGTCATCTTGAATGAGTATAATCTAGATATCACGGAGTATAATCCGGATTACAATGAGTATAATCCAGATATCACGCAGTATAATCCGAATTTTTCTAGCTACTATCTGAAATTTTTTTTTTCACCACGGTTATCACTGAGTATAATCTGGGATGATATCCAGTGTCATCTTGTTCTTTTCGTGTAGACTTAATAAAATAATAAATACTGACTGGTTGACAATCATGAGGCTCCATACAGGCTTTTATCTGGGAGTGAATCCATAGAGTTGACCTTTCGCGCATAGAGCTCAAAAGAAAAGCTTCAAAGTCAAGAAACACTTCATTTTTTCTTTCGCGATACCTTGACGGCTGATGAGGGATTATTGATGCAAAATCACGATTTCTGCAACCGTCTTTAACAAGAACAACACTTCCTTGTGCATGTGGGTTATCTGGATCAGGGCTTACTGTCACTTCTATTAATTTAATGTATCCCCAAGCACTTTCAGCACTTATGCGAGCACGTAATTGGAGTTTCGTGCCGATTGGAACAGCTTGGTCTACCGTTTCTGCACCTATTGAACTTTCTGAAGAGTTTCCAATTGCTTCACGATAAAGAGCTACTTCGTACTCTAATCTTCCTGGTGTTTCTTCAACAATACCTGATACACGCGCACCATGAGGACTGTAAGTATAAATATTCCTTCAATAAATTATTTGAAGATAATTTAAGTAAATCAATATTCAGAAATTAATTCATTTATTGAATAAACTTACAATGTTCCAGCAAAACCAGCAGCTTTATGCCTTAAAAGTGTTGGTTCAGGTGGTCTGCACATTAGAATCAACTCTTGATCTGCCAGCATGACAACTCCAGGAAAAGCCGGAAACCATATTCTCAGGTGAATGAAACCCTTTAAAATACAATTTTTAAGTGTGAACAAAATAAAATGGTTGTGTAATATTTTTTTACATTTAAAAAAAATTAATTTTTTAAATATAACTACGTAACTCTAATTATCATAATTATACAGAAATTTGTACCATTAAAAAAACTTCACGGAAACAAGAGCACTTGGAAAATTAGTTTTGCACTTTTTAACGCGGTGCTTTTGATGAAAATATATAATTAGTAGTTTAAATAAGAATTTTTTAACAAAACATCATAATTTTTTCAAAAAAGTTTGTTGAATACAATTATCACTTGTTGAATTTATTCATAAAATATAAAAACTATTGTTTATAATTGAAAATTTTTACGGATGTTTATCTGAAATGCTGAGATATTTTTTCCAAATTTTATTTTTTGCATCTTTCTAAAAAATTATATTTTATTTAAAAATTAAAAATACCGAATGATCTTGAACAATGAAAACTTTCAACGACTTTTTTATTTTTAGCAATTAAATATTGACACAGATTTATAAGTTATAATACAAAAGTATTGTATTAAAATATCATGTTAAAAATGTCGTATAGAAAAAAAATTGATAAATATTTTCAATTATTTTTGCGGGTAATCATAATTTATCGAAAAATTTTTTTATTTAAAAAAATTGATAAAAATAAAAAATAGCAAAATCTACAAATTTTTACATTTTATTCTACTCCGTAGAAAATTGTTAAATTAAATGTATTTTCAAAATATAATTACTTCAAATTAATTTTTAATTCCCAAGTTTTTGCTCATATTTTTCATTAATCACCATAAAATGTTCCAACTTAATATTCACTGGATATTTTTACACATGATATTTTAATAAAATATTGTAAAGAAATCTCGTACCAGAAAATATCAATTACTCTATGACCAATCACCTAACTGAACATGAATTTGCTAAATAACAGCTTACATTTCTTTTTAAGATTCCACACCGTGAAAAATCAGTTACTTTCAATAAGTAATTATCTTCTAATGCATCTGCTGGATCAGGCCGTATTTGACATTGAATATCAGTCAGCGGGTCAGCAGCTCGATCATCAGCAAAGAGCGGTGAACCTTTGAACCCAACCGGCCGTCTGATTTTAGCAGTAAGAAGGTCTGTTGGAGATGTTGGTGGACTACATTGAATGTCCGATACTTCGTAATCTTGGGCTAGTGTCACCTATAAACCAATTGATATTTATATTATTATTATTGTTTTTTACAAATAATAATATTGTATTTTTTTCAATAGGCTTGCTGGTAATTGTGATAAATTACAATCATCTGTACGCGTGACTAAAAAGGTGTGAGTAAAGCACGTGCCTCGGGAATCTATAATTATCAAGCGTTTAACTTGGAATAATCGCATAGCTGTACTCTCTCAATCTTTTACTGCATAAGCATCAAGCCAAGTCACGCATTCGCACCGTATCTAAATTGATAAAAGTACATTTCATCATAATAAACAAATTTAACTAAAAATCTATTATATTTTTAACTACAAAATATCGGAAAATAAATTTTTCAATTAGTCTTAAAGCTTATAATGTTGACAAAAATTATGTGTAGACTAAAAATCGTTGATACAACGTGTCGAAATAACTCTAGCGATTACTAATTTTTTTTTTCGTATTCAAGAAGAAATTTTGAAATTATCAATTTAAAAAAAAAATTTTTTTTTTTTAATTAAAAAGTTGACGTTTAAAACTAAATTTTTTTCTATTATTTTATCTTTAATAAACTTAAAGAAAAAAATATGTGAACCCTAATTTCAAATGATTATTTTTTATTTTTATGTCAACTAATTACTATTAAATGCATTATTTGTTAAATGTAAATTTATATTTAATACACTATTATAAAATAACATTGAATAAAATCACAAACCGCAAAAAATCCAAAAACGAGAATTCTCCACATCATTGAAGATGTGATTGAATATTCACTTAAAAATACAAAAAACTTTTATTGAAAAATTAAAATACAACCAAACAAACGATGATGTTAAATTGAAACATAAAATGATAAATAAATTGACAGAGTAACAACTAGTTGAAAATGATGTAATTTTGATGAAGGTTCCCGATGGACTGAACGTTATGGTGAAGACACTTGTTAAGCCCCCCGCGGACAGTTGGAATAAGTAGTGAAGAAGGGAAGTAAAGAAATAAGGAATCACCAGCCACCAGCCCAACCGTAGAGTACTGTTAATGCATGCCTGGTGCCTCAGCTAACAACCATTCTGCTCTTAAGCATAAGTCCTCTTCTTCTCTTACTTCTTCAATGTTCACACACAGAAGAAGATATAGTATACATAATAGTATCGCTTCGAACAAGACCCATGACGACTTTAGACTTATACTAATTCTATGTTTCAGCTGGTCGTTTTTTTCTTTTAATGTTACCGTTAATTTTGTAGCATAATTTTACTAATTTTATGTGACGATCCAATAATCAAAATCTAAGAAAGACAGTAGTGACCGAGTAGAGTACTAATTTTGCTGTAACTGGTAAAAAAATTTTAATTAACATAAGTAGCTCTGTAAGTATGCAATATGTAATTTAATTTTGATATTTATTAATGAGTGTAAATTTAGTATATTGAACTTTGAAATATTTGAGTTTTGCGGGCAAAGTATTAAAAAAAACTCCGCGGTATTCCGGTCTGAGGGGCGGAAGAATCACCGACTCGCGAAACGCTACGCGATTTAAGATATGTATAAGAGGCGAATGAGTTAAGCGGTTACTGACATCACCAAGTTACAATTGTAGGTCAATGTCGTTATATTCTTTCGCATATAACTGATTTTTGGGATTTAAAAAAAAAAAAAAAAAAAAACAGGTTTTTCCGCAATCGCTAAATTAGCACCGATAAATTTTATTTAAAACCGGTACTTTACCATTAACTCACTTATAAATAGTCACTCCTCGCACATTTACTTTAAAATAATTATCCCAAATACTGATTTTAAAATCCTGATTTTTCATTAACATATTTAGAAAAAGTTAGAATATAAAATCCTTTTTTTTATTATTTTCAAAGACAATTGTCACTTACATACTCGGCAAAGAATGTTTTGAATCATGTCACGCATTTCAACGATATTTTCCATTAGTCGAAGATTATTCTTCCGTTATATTACTACTCGCAATGTTTCAAAGACATTGCATCAAATTATTAAATTCAATTTGTTACTAACTTTAATGTTGTCGATTTTAATATCTTCAATAAATTTAGTGAATAGTTGAAAATCATTTTTTACTCTCAGTGGCTGGAAAATTATTTCGAGTAGGAAAGACCAGGGCATACATTTTTTAAGCGAGTAATTATTTCTTCTCACTTGTGAGAGCTGCATGTTTAAAAAAAATGCAATATTATGCAAAAAAAAAAAAGGTTTCTATTTCTTTAATATTATAAAGAGGAAAATTTAATCCCGAATTCTCTGTAACGCTTTTAGATTTTTAATAAATTTTAACTCACAATTTTTTTATCGCACTATTTATTTTTGATAAAAATTGAAATGTATGTCAAGTTAACGAAAACTTAGCATGATGCTTCTATTTTGATATTTATATAATTTCCGAAATTGTAGGTATTTTAAAGATTATTGAACCTAAAACAATGACTTGTTATTTAATTTAACAGTTTTGTTATTCAATTTATTTCTTTTTCCGTAAAAGTTTAAGAATAAAATTATAATTTAACTATCGACGCGTCACCACCTGGTCATGGAATGTGATTTTGACTAGTAACGATTTACTGTTATTTTCCTATACGTTTTAATGTAAGAAATCAAGGGAGCGTTTCAGTGTTCACCTTTTTATTATTTTATGTTTCTATAAGTGTAATTAAATTAAATATTTATTATATGTATTTTATATTCATAGATAATAATATTGCAGTAGATTGGAATTTACGCATTTACACTTGGGTGACTTGGAGGTGCATTCAAGGCATTCTCCCTAGTGACTTTTTTAAGCTATTAGAGTACGAGTGAGAGATAAGATTGACGATATAATTACCCGTTAGAGTTGGCGCGTGCTGATCAACGTCTAGATCCGCGTATGTCACGGGCCATAGCGGATGTTAATCGCATCTTCTTCACTATTAGGTGTTTTCCTCATCATTATAATTCTACAGTTTATTTTATTGACGTTATAATATATCATTGCAAATTATAATATTCTTCAAGTATATATCAATTTATTTAATATTTTTTTCTCTTTAGTCTATTATTTACCCCTATAATATAACTGTACTTTGTATCTAAAGTATTAAATTTTATTTTTATAATCACTCTGTGACACTAAGCACTAGCTTTCCAGACACTTGATACTTTTTATTTCATTCAAATTTACAATGTGCTTTTTTTACTGTAAACGAACATGACACGAGATCTGTCATGTCGTATATTGTTACCATATAATTATATATTAAATTTAATTTTATTATATTGTGCAAAGGTGGTAATTTGAAAATTAATGATTATAAGTTATTTTGAAAAGTTATTATTATTATTCTAAGCCGAATACTCTCGATCCAAATTTTTCTTTTGAAGAATGACTAATTTTTGATTATTACTTCTTCACCATAATATTTTATCGGTATGAGGTCTCATACCATCAGAGAAAATCTAGGTGAAATTCACAATTAAAATTCGTTTTTCGACAATTATTGTTAGAGAAAGATGTAATTTTTACTCAGTGTAAATTTTTTTCAGCAACCGAAAAAATAACTCAGATAGACCAGACCAGGACTCGAACCTGAATCTTTTGGTTACGCGCCAAATGCTCTACCAGTTAAGCTATCTGAGACACTGTCTTTATTATAATTTAAAAAAATTTTTTTAAATATTTATTTATAATTCATTTAATTATACGAATAAATTTTGTATTTGGCTATTTTATTGTAAGAATAATTTATTTTATAATTAAAAAATAAATAATGAAAATGTATTGATATAATATTTCAATATTACAATTTTAATCAATTATTAAATTAATTAATCTTTGTTATAAGAATTATCGTAAAATTAACCAAAATTAAAATTAAAATTAAAATAAATATAATTTTATTTTATTTAAATGCCACAAGATAAAAATGATAAAAATATGTTAAGAAATAATAATAACTATGAAAAAAATTTAAATAAATTCCATGAAAATTAAATCTACTTGAAAATTTTGATTTTCTATAAAAAATTTTAGTAACAACATTTTAATGATAAGGATGATAAAATTATACAGTATTGAAAATTTTAATGAATAATGATTAAAATAGATCTATAAATTATTTATCTCAAAACATATTAATATTAAGCAATCAAGTAACACTTAAAAAATAAAATTTCAGTAATAATAAGAATGTAATTATTATTAATACGGTTGTTTTATTTTTAAATATGGAGCACGAAATTATTTTTGCAACGAGCTTATGAGCATATTAATCTACCTGCAAGTAAAACCGGCAGGATTCATTATTCGTACGGCAGTATAAGTAGACAGTTGATGATTCATAAATAATCCTCTCCCAAGTGCAGATTAACTCATTTATCACGGACGATTTATACCAACAGGATTTTTGAAGTATTAACCTTTTATCTCGATGGTCCACTATACAAAATATATGACCTCAATCGCATAAGAAGCGGAACCAAACCGTTTTCATTTATGATAGTAAACAAACCATATTTTACATTGTCATTAAAATGACATTTCATATTTATGTATTAATATTTGAGTCATGTTGATTTAATTTTTTTTTGTTACAGATTTACCCTCTTAAAAACCATATCAATTTTTCACTGTTGGTAATTATTAAAAAATAACTTAAGCATTTGAAAAAAAAAAATCATTAGATAAAATTATTTATAATTATAATTAAAAATTTGCACTGTTATTTCTTTATAAATTATAAATATTTATAAAATAAAATAAGTTTGTACTATTATGTTAAGAATAATCGACTTTTTTTGAGTGTGAGGAATGAACAGCTCAGATTTATACATTCTCATCAATGATGAGCGTGAATCGCTAATATATTATAATACTATAAACAAAAGGAGAATTTCCTTACTTGTTTACGGTTTGAAGGCCGTTGAGCTTCGTCTGACTATTTTCTATCCTTCGCGGGACTCAACTCTTGAGCAGCTACAATGTTGCATTTCTGCACTCATGCGCTCATTTAGTAAACAGCCAGATATATTACAGAGATTATAATTTTTACCTAATCATTAAAAACTAGAGAGACATAACTTATTTTATTAGCTAATTAAAAAAAAACGGCATTATGACAAATGGCTTTACGGCCTGTCTAATCAGACTTAATATTGGAAGATCGTCATCACTATATTTATTCTTACTGTATACCGTAATATATCATGACAAATCTTATACTTTTTCACTTAAAAACTATTTAAGTCGAAAAATTTTTTATTATTTTAGAAGAAAAATTTCCATTCAATAAGTCTATTTAAATGATTTTAAAAATGGTAGATATCCGGTTTCTTTTCATCGGCTAATTATCTATTATTAAGAAAAAAAATTTCGGAATCTTTGAAAAATTGTATAGAATACCTTCTGCTACCATTACAAAAATATGTTCGAATATAAATATACAGAAAAAAGAGAGGAATAATTACAATATAAAATTAAAAAAAAAGTCCATCATATTAAAAATGATAAAAAAGGCCATTCGGCAGCCGAAATGGAAGTAGATTTTCGTGATGAATAAAAAAATACTACTATAGAGTTGCATACGAAAAAACAATAAACTTCTGTTACATTAAACAACAATGACGTCAAAACGAATGCAAAAGTAAAATTAATTAAATCTGTCTGAGAAAGTAGGTAATTTTTGGCCTAGACTGATAATAAGGTACATATAAATTAAAGCTTATTTAATAAGCTTTCAGATGCTACTT